TTCTACTTGGTCACATGAGCTTTTATGAACCCTGCAAGTCATCTGACTTTTATGCAAACCCACCTCCTTTTTCATGAAATAGAAACAGTGCAAGGTGCCCTGCATTTGTTTGGTTGAGGTAGGAAGCAAATGGTTAAAGGGTGATGTGGCCATGGGTGAGAGACAACTTGGCGAATCCAGCTCTCTTCGAGAAACCAGATTTTAGCATCAGATGGCTCTCCTTTCCAATCCATACAGTGTGTTCTTCTAAGCCCAGAATACAATGAATGGATTGCAGCAAGTGGTCATACAAAATACATATAAAATAGGATACAAAACATTGTTAACATTTAAAATTGTTTTTACTGCCCTGGCTGGTGTGGGTCAGTGAATTGGTTTGATTCCCAGTTAGGCACATGCTGGGTTGCAGCCCAGGTCCCTGGTCGGGGGCGTGCAAGAGGCAGCCAATGGAGCCGTTTCTCTCACACATCAGTGTTTCTCTCCCTCTCTCCTTCCCTTCCTCTCTCTCTAGAAATAAATAAATAAAATCTTTTTAAAAACTTTTTAAAAATAAAATAGTTTTTACTGAGAGGAACCAAACCAATTTCAAATGCTACCCCACAGCAGAAGCTCCAAATTTATAGAACGAAAAACATAAAACTTGGGCCTTCAGTTCCATTTGACTGTAGCACAGAAAGATGAGTATTAGTCCAGACTCTGCGTCTGGTACATAGGTTTACCGGGGCTGCCAAGATCAGGATAGGGCGGGACTTCGACGTCCTGTGATTTCATTCTGTGCTGCTGTCCCTCCTGACCAGCTCCTGGCCCACCACCCCAGGGGCCGCCAGCCCCCTTCCTGGCCCCAAGAGCCACCCACAGCTGCATTTATTTGTCCTAAGAAAGTGCCACAGACTGGGTGGCTTAAACAGCAGAAATGTGTTGTCTCATGGTTCTGGAGGCTGGAACTCCAAGGTTCAAGTGTCAGTAGGTTCTGCTTCTGCCGAGGACTCTCTCCTTGACCTGAGGTGGGCGCCTTCCTGCTGTGTCCCTACATGGCCTTTCCTCTGTGTCCAGATTTCCTTTTCTTATGACACCAGTCAGATTGGACTAGGTTCTACCACAACAGCCTCGTTTTAACTTAATCACCTCTTTAAAGGCTCCATCTTAGTCATATTCTGAGGTATGGGAGTCAGGGCTTCAACTTGTGAATCTGGGGGGACACAGCTAAGCCCACGACAGCAGCCCTGCACAGAGTCCCTCTGATAGGATGGCTTTCCCTCCGCACAGGAGGTCGGATTCTAGCTGTGGTAGAAGCCTCTCTTCTTCCCCTCCCTGACGGACTCTCTCCTCCCTCCCCCCAGCAGCCTTGATGAAAAGGCGTGAGGGTTCATGGCTCAGCTGTGCACGGGTCTTTCTTATTCTGTCCAGTATCCACTCCCGAGGGATTTGGCTTTCTCAAGTTCTTCCTGCCTGGCATCTTTGAGCTCTCCCTTTCCCAGCCTTCACACTCTTCTCTTTCACCTTGGAAGACGCCTTAGCTTGACATTCCCAGTCTGTCACCCCATTTCTCTTTGTCCCTTTCACCTCCGGAATTCCTGACAGATGACTTGACTCCCCACCTGTTCCCTGAGGACCTCCTCTGTGGTGACTGCGGACACTCTGCCCCACCGCACCCGCCCTCCGCAGCACCGCCCGGCAGGCACCCGGCGCTGGTCCGCCCGAGGCGCACTCCCCGCCCTCCTGTCCGCTGCAGCTGCGGTGACTATCCTCCGTCCGCCTCTCGGAGCCTTCCACAGCCCCTTCTCCTCTTCCATTGCATTCTGTTCCCCAAAGAACAGACCCATCCTCACAGTTTGCCTTATAAATTACATTTTTGATCCTGAAATGTTTCACTTGCGGCTTCTACCAACCTTTCTGCGATCTCTGAATTCTGGTCCAGACTTTTGCCTACATACAGATTAAATTTTTTCATCCGCCACATTCACTTGGACCAGGCCAAACTCATCTGCACTCCCAAACTCTGTCATCCATCAATACAGTTTTCCCATTTGTCCAGGCAAGAATTCTCTAAGGAATCTTTGTACCTCCCTCTTGTTTAGCCGCTACTTCTTTTAACTTTTCTTCTGTCCCGTATTTATATTTTTCTTTCTGCTGCCTTTACCAAAGCTGGGCCCGATGATCAGCTCCTTCCCAGGGTATGGCAGCAGCCTCCTAAGTGGGGATTCTCTTCCCCCAGAAAGTGTTGAGACCCCCCAGTGCCCTCCAGCCAGTCAGACCGCTGTGTATGTGAGGGCTCTGATAACTCGGACTTGGCCTCTAGACCGGCTCTGTCCAGCACAACTCTCTCTGAGGATGGCAGTGTTCTGCGTCTGCATGATGTGATAGCCACTGGCCACATGTGACTGGCGTGACTGAGGGACCGCGTTGTTCATTTTCCGTAAGTTAAGTCGCCACACTGTCTTCACACCACCGCTGTCTAACCCTGCCCTGTGCTCTGGCCAACCTCCAGCAACCACCACCCTGACTCGCAGCTCTGAGCCCCTCCCTGCTCCGGAGCGGTGGGCCGGGCTCTTCCTCTGTCCCTGTCCCTTGTTCAGACCCTTGCTAGTTCTCAGGCCCACCTGCGTCAGCCTCTCAGCCCTGCCTGCCTCCCCACCTCCTCATCCCACACGGTGCTCTTTCTCCTTCATCGGGACAACCGTGTCATGTTGGCTGGATAAGTTTATTTTTAAACTCTCTGTTTAACTTTTACTTTGAAATAATTTTAGACTTAAAGGAAAGATGCAAAAATAATACAAATAAATCTTATATTCCCTTCACTCAGATTCTTTAGATATCATCATGTTACCGTGCTGGCTTTATCGCATTTCCTCTCCCCTCTTCTTCCATTTCTCTTTCTCTCCACCTCTCCACACACACACATGCATTTTTGGAGCAGTTTGGAAGGAAGTTGCACATATGTTATCCTCTGCACTTAAGTTCTTCCGTGTATATTTCCTAGAAACATAGACAATCTCATAAAATCAGTTTGGGGATCAAAACTACAAAATTAACATTGATACAATGCTATCTATCATCTAGTTTATTGGACATCATCAAAATTTTCCAACTGTCCTATAAATGTCCTTCTGTCACAAGAAAGAGACCACATGTCTTGACATTGAAGCTCTTGAGGCTGATTTCTACATTTGTTTGGTTTTCTCCTCAGTACCCAGGCTAGTAGTAGGTACCAGTTGGCATTTGCCTGGCACATTGTCAGCCCTTTTATGAGTTGAGTGGATAGATTAATCATGGTGACAAACCAGGGCGAACCTGATGGAAGCGGACCTCAGCCTGGGCCCCACCATGCACCCGCTGGCCAGCAGCTCCACGCTGCTCTCAGTGTGCTTCTGCAAGCGTCGGTGCTTCGGCAGTCCTGCCAGGGCTCTCCGATGGGTAGCAGTAGTCTTCCCACTTTCCTTATGCCCCATGACGACCTGCAGGGCGGCCGCCTTGCCTGTGGTCACAGAGCAGCTCCATGTCCAGGGCACAGCACCGCCTCTCTGTGATCTGCAGAGGCAAAGCTTTGTGGATGAAGAATTGTTAACACGATCCCACTCATTCATTCATTCAACAAATAGTTATCGAGTGTCTACTATGTGTCAGGCTCGTTAGGTAAACAGCTAATACTTTGTGGGGAGGCAAAGGGCAAACCATAAATAAATAATGAATAGTTTGTTATATGGTGTTAAACGCTGTGGGGGAAATAAAGTGGGGTGAGCATGGTAAGGAGTGCTGGGGTGGAGGGTTGGTGTTTGATATAGAGTGGTTCGGGAGGGTCTCCCAGGCTAAAAAACTTCTCCCCATTTTTGTGTTAAAGTATAGCTTACATACATGAAGTTCCCCCCTTCTAGTGGACAGTGCTGTGAACCTCGACAAACAGACAGTCACGTAGCCGCTGCTACAGTAAAAGACAGTTTTGTCACCTCCAAACATGGCCTCCTCAGAGTGGCCAACCCCCCCCCACCTCTGGCAAGCACGAACTTATTCTCTGTCCCGGTGGCTTTGCCTTTCCTAAATGCCATGGAAATGGAATTATACAGTATGCAGCCTTTGATTCTGGCCTCTCTTAGCAGAGGAGACACATCACTGATTAGATTCATCCATGTGATGTATCTGCAGCTCTTTTTTATTGATGGGTAGAATTTCATTGTATAAAGGTACCACAGTTCACCTGTTCTCCAGCTGAAGCTGTCTGGATAACTTCCAGTTTGGGGCAATTATAAATAAAGCCACTGCAAACATTCACAGGCAGCTGTTTGTCTGCGTGTGGACCTTCATTTCATGTGGGTGCATGGGTTGCATGGCTTTGAGAACAGAGCTGACGGAATATGAGAATAAACCATGGAAATAGCTGAGGGTAGTTTTGCATATTTATCACATTGTTATTTAGCCAAATGATGAGGTTTGCTCTACAAATCTGGTCTGTTTGGATCTTTTTTTTTTTTAATGTGAATTGTTTGGCAGTAGGAATGGCGGAGACCATTGGTTAGTTCATTCATTCATTGAACAAAGAATGAATGAACAAATTCATTCATTCAACAAAGATTTTAAAAAGTGAAAGCCAGCAGTCCAGTCTGGGACCCAAAGGAAGCCTGAGACCCTTGGATCCACACCAAAGGCTAATTTTAGTTGGTTTATCTGACAATTTCCTTTCTGAGTTTCCTGAAAGTCGGGGTGAGAGCATAGTTAGTGAGTTCGGGACTATCATCATTGAAATGGACATTGGAATCTTAAGCATTTTTGAGTTTTCTGTCAGTGGAGGCTTCAGGGAACACCTCCAGAGGTCCCGCTGAGGACTGATGTCCATTCGGTGGGGGGGGGGGGGCATCTGTGTGACTGCATGATGTCCAGAGGGACACACACACAGCGAGAACTCTACACCCATGCGGGGCCGGTAGCCTGGGCTGCGTCCTCCTAGGGCTCAGGAGTCTTGTGAGAAAACAGAACTGACAGAGTGACTTGTGAACTTTTTGTTTCAGGTGACGCAACTGTGAAAAAGAAACCTACCCCCAAGACACCTCCGAAAGCAGGTAATTGGTCATAGTAACTTGTGGGGACAAGGGAGCCATCTGTCCTGAGGGGTTTGTCCTTTGCCCTACTAGACGCCCCCCTTCCCTGATTCATGCTCTGCATTATTCAGGCTGAACTTCCCCCTGGAGCCTCGGCCACCATGGTCTCTTCCACTACTTGCCTTTTCTCCTGCTTCCCCTGTAAGCACAGTGTCACACTCCACCAGTGCGTCTCCTTTCCCCTCTGCACATTCTGCCTGACCCTCGGCCCCTAAGGAGGTGATCCACTTTGTGCCGTTTCCATGCTCTGCTCGGTGCGTCCCTGTCGTATGGAGCCTTGTCTGTTTCCCATTGAAAGACATTTGGGACATGGGCCAGATGGAGCCTCTCAGCCAGGGGCACCTGGAGGTTAAAAGGCAAGGTGCTGTTTAATGAATAATGGAGCTAGGATGTAGACTCAAAAAGTTAGGGTAAGACACAAATTATAAAGCGCCCAGCACACGGAGAATTACGCCACGTGAATTGTGCGGGCCACTGTGAGGATAAGGAGATGAACGATCCGAGCAGGTCCATCGGCTCAGACGTTCTGAAGCAGTGATTACTGACCACAGTTTTGGAAGGTTCCAGAAGGCATGAGAGGAACAGCAGACCAATGTGGTCAGCAGTGTCAAATGAGGTCTTACTTTCCCGCTTGTCCTCTCCAGCCATGCCCCCTCAGATCGTTCAGTTTCCCGAGGACCGAAAGGTGCGTGCCGGGGAGTCCGTGGAGCTGCTTGGGAAAGTGACAGGCACCCAGCCTATCACCTGCACCTGGATGAAGTTCCGAAAGCAGGTCAGTGGAAGAGGCGGGCGGCCTGAGAACAACCCACACAGCATCTAGGCTGGAGGGGACGAGAACTGCTCAACTGGGGACAGCATGGCCCCTCATCGCAGGGGCCGTGGGACAGGAGAACCCCCACCCTCTCATCACCCACCCACCAAACCTGAGTTCTTAACATCGCCTTTCCCCCCAAATCTACTAAGTAATACCTGCTTTATAGACTATTTGTGTAATGAAGAAAAGTATGAAGGGAGAAAGAGAAACCAAGAAACTTGGTTCCCACCAGATTTTGATAACTCAAGTCTAGAATTCTCCTCAGACTCAGGAACATGGAACCACTGACCTAGGAGGCCCTGTCAGCCTTCTGTGATTCCATACCAGCCCAGTGAACCCAGTCTGTGGCAACAGCTTAAACCTACCACATGCTAAAGGGATAAAAGTGAATCTGAATGCTTGGATAGATAAATTATATGTTAAGTAGAATTTTGTCTGGCTGGGCCAGAAATCCAGCTACCATTTATAATCATGGTCCTGGGGGGACATGTTTGAAATGCTGAACAACCAGCTTTTAACGGCACCTGGAGGTCCCATGTTGTGGTGAGCGCCCACAGGCCTGCTCAGCAGAGGCCCCGGACAGTGGGCTGGTGCTGGACTGGAAACTCTACAGAAGGGGTGAAGATTTCTTCTGAGTCCTCTGTTGCTCTGTTTCCAAACATCCAAGTTGTCCTAAGGCCCAGATATGGGAGGCTAGTATCAGGAAGGAAAGGAGGTTTGGTCTCAAAAGATGGAGACATTGGCCGTTAGCATCCAAGGCAAGTTAGCCTCGGGCAGTGTCTGGGCCGATGTCTGAAATAAGATGGAATCTCATCCCTTTTCAGAGACGTTTAGCCGGTCTCAGCTCTGTCTCTTTCCATGGTGATGGAAATGTTCTGTGTCTGTTTTCCTGCATGTAGCCACTAATCCATGTGGCTGTTAAGCACCTGAACGGTGATTAGTGGAACTGAAGAACTGAATTTTAAATTTTAAGTAATTAAAAGTTATTATAATAGCTTTGTTGAGATAATTAACACACCATAACATTTACTCTTTTAAACCCACACTTTTGAAGTGTTTTTTACTGTACTCACAAAGTTGTGCAACCATAACAATGATCTAATTCCAGAATATTATTGTCAGCCCCTCCAAAACCCCCAGACCCATGAGCCGTCATTCCTTCCCTTCCCCCAAACCTGGCAACCACTCACCTACTTTCTGTCTCTATGGATTGCCTATTGTGGGCATTTCACTTAAATGAAATCCTATAATATGTTTTCTTTAGTGTCTGGCTTTTTTGCACTTAGCATAATGTTTTTGGGGGCTCATTCATGTTGTAACATGGATCAGTACTTCATTCTTTCTTATGGCCAAATAACATTCCATTGTTTGAATATGCCATATTTGTTTATCCACTCATTAGCTGATGGACATTTGGGTTGTTTCCACTTAATTAAAATTTAAATAGTCACATGTGGCTAGTGACTGGTTTCAACAGTATAGCAGAAGTCAGAACCCACAGGACTGGGCTTTATAAGTGGACTTCGCTCAGATGTGTTCTCCCACCGTCCCATCCCAGCCTGGTGGAGGGAGACCAGGATGCTCCCAAACTCTGGTCTAGAGCAGCAACTGCAGAGTTCCTTCTCCCCAACTCTGCTCAGCACCCCATGCCTACCTCAGATCTGGGCCCCCAGAAAGGCCTGGCTCTGGATGCAGCAGAGGAGGGGGCTCAGGAGGAAGCCCAGAGTCCAGAGCAGTCCAACCCCACACAGCTCCTGCAGCTGCATCCCTTTGGGAGTGGGGCTGGGACTCAGCTCCCCCTTCCTTTCCTGGCCCGCATCTCCAGCAGCTGCCCACTCTCTGCCCGCAGATCCAGGAAAGCGAGCACATCAAGGTGGAGAACAGTGAGGGCGGCAGCAAGCTCACCATCCTGGCCGCGCGCCAGGAGCACTGCGGCTGCTACACTCTGCTGGTGGAGAACAAGCTGGGCAGCAGGCAGGCCCAGGTCAACCTGACGGTGGTCGGTGAGTCCGGAATGGGTTGGCCTGAAAGTGGGGAGATGGGAACGGTAGAGAGCACCCAGGCAGGACGCTGGACCTCGGGCCTCATCTCCCAGGGGACCTGGTCCTTCTGACCCGCATCTCTGCCCACAGCCTCCCTACTCTCACTTCGTTTCCTTCCGCCTGATCTCGCGCTTTTGCTGTGTCTCGTACGCAGCGAGGGCTCCAGACCCTACACACCCTCACCGTGGTTTCCTCTTCCTGTGAGTCCCTTCCCGGCTTCTCTTCTATTCTCTGGAGACCCCGAGCTCCTCCAGGTCTTCTCCCACGGGCACCCATAACTCCTTTCTCCTCTCTAGGCTACCACTCTCCCCGCCAGCTCAGTCCCACACCTGATTCTGGGGGCATCGCAGGAAAATCACATCAACCCGCAGACTCAGTCAGGATTCTGACAAGATCCAGGCTTGGCCAAGGCATCAGTGCTGGTCAACACTCTTGCCCATTCTCTGGGATAGCCTGTCGCCCTGAAGGCCTTGGCCTCTAGCGTCTCTGAGAACTGGAGGCATCGGGCAGGAGCTTGCTCAGCTTCAGGGCCCCACACCTACGGGTGCCTCTGTACCCGTCCCCAGGCCGACTTCACCCCTTCATCCCACTGTCCCAGGGTTTACTGATGTGATCTTTCTTTTGTTTCCTTAGGTCAGCACTTTTAAATCTAGAAAGCCAGTGTTGTACCAGGGGTCAGAGAGTAGGTTTCTCATCTATAATAGATTGGGGGGATGGGGGGCTTTTCTCACTCTTTTTGTCTTTGGTGACTTTGGAGGCTTATTTCAATAGTTTTTCCTGTGAGTCAGGAACACTGGGTGAGGTGGCGGGGGCGGGGGGAGGGGTGCGGAGATTTGGGAGTTTGGTGCAAGTGACCCAACCCGTCTGTCTTTACACTAAGACCTGTACCTGCAGCGTTGACTTGGCCCCGCGGCCTCACCCATTAGCAAGCACTGGTGTCCAGTCTTTCTTGCTGTTCTCGCTCATCTGCCCCTGTTAGGGGAACTTTGGGGTCCGCTCCTCTGAACCACTTTTCTGTGACCAGTATCCCCTACCTCCGCTCAGCAAGGTCCACTCAGTGCCACACACTCCCCTCCCCCATCACCATTGCTTAAGCTGCAGTTCTGGCCTTTTATGGTCTAGTTTCTGATTCTCCTCAGCCAGTACTGACAAGGCCATTGGTGTGGCTGCCCGCCAGCTGGCAGGAGCAGCACGTTAAATGCCGTCCTGGGAGGGGAGAGGAATGGAGGGGAACGGGCTTTCTGTCTGCCTCCCCCTTACAGAGCTAAGAATAGAATTGCTCAATAAAATGAGGACTTGTGCTGATGCAAAGAGCAAAGCCACATTCATTCAGAGCCCGTGGATTTAGAGTTAGTCCAACGGAAACCTGGATTTAGCCTAGATTTACCTGTGCATCTCTAATGACATTTGTGTATTATCTGATCAGGGTTGATTAACTAGATGTACAATGTATGGGATGAGACAGGAATTATTTGGCTTACCCTACATAGTTTTCAGGCACTTTGGAAGTGCCCGTCTATAGGCAAGCTAAATAAGGCTGGTTTAACATGACTTCAGCTTGTCAGTAAACTTCTCACGTGTTCTTTTTTTTTTTAATATTAAATTTTATTTAGTTACTTTTCAAGTACTTTTTTTTTTTTTATCTATTTCTCCCATCCCACCCCACCCCCCCCCGCCCGGTCTCCCCCCTCCCTCCCATCCCCCCCCCCCCCCCCAGTCCTCATCTCTATGTCTTTCATACTTGTTCCTCAAAATCCCTCCCCCTTTTTCCCCTTAAGTTCCCTTCCCTCTCCCCTCTGGTCGCTGCCCACTTGTTCTCTATTTCAGTGTCTTTGTTTTTATTCTGTTTGCTTGTTTGTTTTATTCTTTAGCTTCCTGTCAAAGGTGAGATCATATGGTACCATATGATCTCACGTGTTCTTAAAAGAACCACTTCCTTTTCAGATAGTCTATGACTCCTAATTCATAAATGATAATAAAAATTCGCCTTTTCCCCAGTTAGTTTAAAGGCGTGGCATTTAGCTCTTTTAAAGGCTTCTGGTCATCGTGTATTAAAAGGCAGCGTGGGGATTTGCGGAGCTCAGAGGGCCTCTCGTCTGCACTGCAGCAGCGACCTCGGAGGGGTGGGGGTGGGCAGGAGAGAGTGGCCCGACCCACATGAATTCCTTCCTGTAACTTGTCCAGCAAGAGAAAAACAGGTCACTTGGCATGTCTTTAAAGGAGAAAAACAAAATAGAAAGAACCCCAAATACCCAGTAATCTCCCAATGCTTTCTGAGCCTGGAACTTGCATGGTTTTTAGCGGTGGGAGATTTCCCTTCATAATGTGTGGCTTGGATTTAAGCAAGTTGTGTCTTGGTCTTATTCTGCCTGAGAGCCTAGAAAATAACTGGCCCCTGGATCGAGGGTCTGAAGATTTTTTGTAATCTCCTTTTGGCTCTGCCGAGAGCTAGCTGAGTATCCTTGGTAAGAAAAGTGCCTTAGCCTCCCAGTGGCCAAAGGCCAGGATGTCCAGGTAGATGACCCTGGAGCTCTTGCAGCCCCCTGCCTTTCTATGAAAGATGCAAGCAACTGCTGAGGTGCCTGTGCAGGGAGACCTAGGTGGGGTAGGCACAGCCACAGAGCATCGTCAAACACGTAAGGAGGTAGAGCCCGCTAGGACGGTCACTCAAGTGAAAGTCATTAGACTTGAGATCCTCCATTTTGTCAGGAGTGCAAACATTTGCTGAACAGAAAATCCTGGAGCTGGGTGCCATCACAGACCTGACCCCTGGACTCAGCGTTTCCCATTCTATTAGTCAGGTCTCCAGGGAGCCATGGGAAAATTCCCAGGAACCCTGGAGCTCTGGGCACTAGACACTGAGCCTGCCTTCTCTTTACCAGGCCATCCCTGGTCGCCCTCCCAGCCCCAGTGTGGCTGTGCCACTGGGATGGAGGGCGGGCGCACAGGTGCTCTGTTCTGACGGGTTTCATCCCTGAATGGTCTGCCTCTGCACAGGGCTCTGCCCAAGGTCTTAAGCCCAAGGTCTTAAGGGGGTTGGGGCCTCCAATCTCAGGCCGCTTCAGATGTGGGTCTTTTCTGAACTCCTTATTTCCAATTCCTTGAAAGCACTGAAGTTTCACTTGGAACTACTGCTACTCTCTCCAAATTTTGCATCTTCTCTTGTACCACAAGGGGTGACATACTAGAGGTCTGTCCAGAAGATATCTAACCATATAATCTGAAAAATAGGGACATTTATTAAAGAAGATACAAAATGCAAGAAACAACATACTTGGGACAGTGATGCCTCAGTCCCCTTCAAAGTAGGCACCTTGGGACCTCACACAGTTCTCCCAATCACCATCAGCTGGCCCATTGTATTTTCCTGAATCTCATCAATGGTCTGAAATCTCTTCCTTTTAAGAGGTGATTTTAGTTTTTGGAAAAGCCAGGGTGCCAAATCTGGGCTGTAGGGGGCTTGAGTCACCTGGGTGATTGTGTATTTTGCAAAAAAACTCTACATGAGACATGATGCATGAGTGGGCCCATTGTCATGATGAAGCTGCCAATCATCAGCTGCGCATAGCCGTGGCCTTCTGAATCATGTGAATAGTTTGCACTGAGGAATTTTCAAGTTTAATGCAAAATTTGATGCAGATTTGTTACTCTGCTCTCTCAGTGTTTTTGAATGCAACAGCCATACAGTGCACATGCTCACTCAATGGCATCTACTGTCCCAACAGACTAGTACAGTGAAGGTGTCAGCCATGCGCATTCCAGTCCATTCTCCTTGGCTGCCAGGTTACACTGATGTCACAGAAACTCGTTCTATTAACAATGTCTGGAATTTTCCTGGACAGACCTCATATGCCATATATCAGTTCTCTCTCTTTCAGCCCAGGGACATCTGAACAGGGGAGAGTACAAGTAGTACCTCTTCTGCAGTATACACTTTTCAAAGTTTTCTCTCCTTGACCAAAGCAGAGGGGAGAAGATGCAGCAGTGGAGGGTGCTGCATCCATTAAACCCGCAGGACTCTAAGTGTTCTAAGTGCTCAGTCAGACATTGTGCAGGGTTTCTTGTGGGAAGCAGTGTGTCTGTCTTTCATCCCTCTTTAGGCTTTTTACTTTTGTAGCTGGGTCTTGAGAGGACTTGATCCACTTGCCTCTAAGAGAGTTTAGAGTAATAAACATCTTAGCCAACACCAGAAATATTTCTAAAAAGACCAATATATCTTTCAGAACAAACAGTTTTTCTGAGAGAACATATTCAACAGCTAGTGAAAGTGGCTCCACCACGGGAGGCCTCCGAGTGACTACAGAGAGTGGCTGTGTCCCAGTCCCAGAATCACCTCTGGGGGGGTCCAGGCTCGGGGGGCAGGAGGTGGACAGGGTCCAGGCAGCGCGTTCTTGGCTGCAGCGTAGAAGCAGCAGGGTGTGGGGGCGGGCAGAGCAAGGCTATGCATACGAATGTGTGTACGTATGTGTTCACACGCACACATGCAAAATGTTTTCTTCCCCCGCATGTGCAGGGTCGTTTGTAGAAACTCTCTGGTTTTCCTGACTCGCTGAGGAGTGGGAGAGTAGAAATCAAGGACGTTGCCTAGGTTTGTTTACATGATGCTTGTAAAACCTCTAAAAGGAACATACATATTTGCACCATGTCTCCTAAGAGAAAGACAAACTAGTCTTGGAAGTTAAGGAATTCGCTAGAGTTCACATAGCTCATAAATTCACACAGCATAAAGTATGGCTGTAGTTGTTAGTTGGGGGAGCTCTGCACCTCATAGTGCCTTAGGAGGGGGGTGCAGAGCTACCACATACTGGCATCTGTAGCTAAACCAACCACCTGCAGAAACTAAATCTGACAAGTAGGAAAATTTTGTTCAAATCAGCAACTGACAAAATCAGCAAAGCTCGAGAACCTCATTAAAGTATTGACTGCCATGATTTGCCTTGAAGTTGGCAAACGTTCCTAGTTCTCAGCATTACTGGTCCGAATGGGAAGGCAACCAGCCAAAGCCACTGCTTCCTGTGTCCTCAGCTCGTCCTCTGGCCCTGAGTCGGGGGAGCTGTGGTTTGCTCTTGAAACTCCTTACCTCATCCTATACCAGTCCTACAAGGATAAAAGAGGTGGGGTAAGAGTAACTTTCAATGTGTTATAAAGTCAGAAATAAACTCCTACCACAAATGATGACAGTAATGGCTCTTCAATACAGTCACTTTTCTAAGAACGTCTCATAACCGCCTTGTGATCCAAGTGCTATTATTATCCACACTTTACAGGTGGGGAAACTGAGGCACAGCAACACGTAGTGAAGGGGGTCACTCAGAGCTGTGTCCAAGCCCTGCCCCGTCTGGCTCCAGAGCCCACTGCGCTGCATGGCCTGTCAGCTTCAAAGAAGCTGGAGTCTGACCCCTCGTTATGTCACAGGTCACTGGCCCCGGGGCCTGAAGGACACACACACGTGCTTACACACACACACACACAGAACTCTCTCTCCAAACAGTTCGGATGGGAAGCAGTCCACGCCTCTGGGCAGCTTCCTAGATCTGTTTACACTGAGAAATATGTTTATGACTGCGACAAAGTACAGGAAATCATGACTTGTGACTTGTAGACTGGAAAACTAGCCAAAAAAAAAAAAGTTTTCTCTGAGAAAATAGGTGTTTGCAGGGCTTTCTCATAGGTGGGTTTGCGCCTGGGCCTGACTGTGTGGGTGGGGGAACCGAAGCCAGGACCAGGGATGTCGCCTGAATTCTCTGAGCCTCTCCCCCAGGGGAGACCTAATTCAGAAACGTCTTTTCCCCGCAGCTCTGAAGAGTTGGATGATGTTGTGTTTCTCTCTCCGCAGATAAGCCAGACCCCCCGGCCGGCACGCCTTGTGCCTCTGACATCCGGAGCTCCTCGTTGACCCTGTCCTGGTACGGCTCCTCCTACGATGGGGGCAGTGCCGTGCAGTCCTACAGCGTGGAGATCTGGGACTCCGTGGACAAGACCTGGAAGGAACTCGCCACGTGCCGCAGCACCTCATTTAACGTCCAGGACCTGCTGCCTGACCGAGACTATAAGTTCCGCGTGCGCGCCATCAACGTGTACGGAACCAGCGAGCCAAGCCAGGAGTCTGAGCTCACGGCCGTGGGCGAGAAACCCGAGGGTAAGCTGCCTTCCCTCTGTCGCTGGCTTGAAATCAGTGTGCGTAAACCAGCCCGTGTAGGTAGAAACCTGGACGGAGCGGGGCTCAGAGGAACTGGGAAGACGCTGATGATGGCAGGCAGACTCTTTGGGACCTTGATTTCCAAGGTTGTGGTGCTGATCCACACTTTTATTTATTTTTTATTTTTTAATTTTTAGATTTTATTTATCTTTTGGGAAGGAGAGAGGGAGAGAAATACCAGTGTATGGTTGCTTCTTGTGCATCCCCCGCTGGGAACTGGCCTGCAACCCAGGCAATGTGCCCTGACTGGGAATTGAACCACAATTCTTTGGTTCGCAGGCCTGTGCTCAGTCCACTGAGCTACACCAGCCAGGACTAATACTTTTGAAAGAAGTACTCACGGCCTTTCAAAACCCACTGAACCAGCGATTTTGGCACCCTGCCACCAGGGGGTGATGGAGTGTTCATGGGCATCATGGTCTGGAGGCCAGAGCTCTCTCCTCTTGCACTCCACTTTGAGTGTCTGCTCAGCGGCGGGTTCTTGGGACACAAAGATAAGACAAGGAGCTTAAAATCTAACTCGAGGGACAGCAGTGCACACAGCTCACTACAGTGAAGGGCCACATCCCATTCCAGCAGTGCAGACAAGTTGCAATGGGGGCACAGCAGAGCATGAATAATTTTGCCATGGAGGCTGAGGAAGGCTTCCTAGAGGAGATCACACTCACACCGAGTCTTAGAAAAAGGAATGGGCTTCTGGGAGACAGGGAAGAGAAGAAGAGGCATTTCCCGCAGAGGAAACAGCGTGAGCAAAGGTACAAAGGGATGGAAATGCACAGCCCTGTGAGAGGCTCGGATGTGGCCAGGGCTGAGTGCGAGGTGAAGCAATGCTGACCGGGCCGTGTAGGTCAGATGGCCAAGTGCATCGAAAGTCTTCAGTCCACAGATAGATGAGATTAGCTCTGTGGTTTGTTTGGTTTTTTTTTTTTATGCAACCTAATATTTATTTCAAGTAGTATACAGACTCTAGTGATAGATAGAGTTGTGTGTTCCTAAGACTTTTAAAATGTCACCTTTTGAGGGGGAATTAGATTTTTAAAAATTATTTTACTGTGTACGGCATTCTGATTTGGCATCTGTATATACTACAGAGTGATCACCGCAAGTCTAGTTTTTTAGAAAGAGAATTAGAGGCTCCCTGGACTATCAGTCTCTGGATCCTGGGAGCTTGCTGGAGTGCAGACTCTCAACACCCCCCCCCATTCCTTCTGGACTTTCATCATGCACCCTGCCCCCCACCATGGATTCGTGTGCATATAAAAGTTGGACTGAAGGAGGGGGCGTTGGAGTCGGTGAGACCCCAGTTGGCACTCAGTGGTATTGTGCAGGAGAGAGATGGTGAGGGTATGAACTAAAGCCCCAGGATGTAGAATTAAACTTCGTTGGTGACTTTGGGGTAGAGAGTTGAAGGGAAAAATTAAAAGGGTTTAGGGTGACTCCCAGTCCCTGGCTTGGGTAACTGAACACAAATTCAAGACCATTTAGAAGTTTCTCATTATGATTCATGGAGACTGACATATATGAAGCACTGGCTATATGCTAACAATATGGTAAGCATTTTACATAAATTATTTCATTCACCCAACTCAGTGAAGCAGATGCTGGCATCACCTCCATTTCACAGGTGGGGAAAAGAGGGTTAGATGGGCGAAGCTACGCCCAAGGTCTCAGAGCTTGTAAACAGCGAGCTGGAGCTTGACCTCAAAGCTGACTGACCCAGAGCCTGTGCTTCTTTTATCAAACCGATGGAGGAAGTCAGGCTGCCTTCCCGGTGACTTGGAGGCCAGACAGCAGGGAGCCCAGGAGAGTGCGGAGCAGGCAGGTGAAGGTAGGGGAACTGGGAGAGGCAACCAGCTTGCAGTCTGCATGTTTGTAGCATATTTCTTCACCAAGAGAACTCCCTGCCTCTCGGAAAGGTGATGAGAAAAAGGATAACATTGCGATGAGAAGATGTTCACTAGCTGGAAGGAGAAGCTGTAGCTGGGAGAAACTGGAGAATCCCTGATGAAGCCCACACAGGGGACCGGAGGCCACCCGAGGTGCGGCAAGGAGGCCAGGGCTGCAGCTTCCAGCGCTGTAGGGAGAGTCCATGGGGAAGGGTGGCTGGGACCTTTTGGCTCCGGGCAGGTGGCCTCTCCTGCCCTGCAGCCAGCTAACCCCTCTCTGTGGTCCCCAGACGCCTCCTGGGGCCCCTCCTGGCTGGGAGAAGACGAAAGGAAATGTTGAAATTGCCTGCAATCCAGAGGAATGGTCCAGGCCACCCAGGGCTTCCAGACTGGAAGCTGCCCCCACCCTCGGGCCCCGCTGGATTGTCAGGGGGCAAGAGGGGGAGGCCAGAACTGTTGGCCAGCGTTAGACCTGAGGGTCAGGGGATACAGGGCAAGTGGGGGGTGGGGGAGAAGGGGAGGGTTCCAAGCGAATCCCTCTGTGGACCATTCAGACACTGGTCAGTTATAACCTGGGTAGGTCATCTCTTGCTATTTTAAAAGGGGAAGGGCTCTCAGGGAAGTAGGGTGTGCACAGGCACATGCATGTGCGTGTGACAGGGAGGGATGGGACAGGTGGTCATGATGGGTCATTCTGTGGAACCGGTGAGGATGGTGGTCATCATGAGGGCAGTGCCAGTTAACCCTCCATGCACTGAGCCCAGCTCACGTTGCTGTCACCTTCCTCACAGCCACCACTGTGGCTCCTGCCTCTGCCTTTACAGCATCAGCCTCTGCTCATCCTGACCTCTCAGCTGCACCCCTGCTGGCCCCCAGGCCTGACTGTGCACTCACTCACCCAGTCAGTGTGTCCTTCCCCCTTCCTTGCTTCAGGCGCTGCTGCAGGACCCTGGGAAATGATGGAGGAGGAGGCTGGGGGCCCCATTAAGCCAGAGCTATTTGTCTGACTAGGGTCCCTAACTTAACGCCTCCCCTCCAGTCTTCCCCAGACTGAGTAAACAGAAGCCCTGCCTTAGCACAGCTGCCTCCCCGCTCCCCCCCTTCACACACACACACACACACACACACACACACACACACACACACACACACCGAATCCCATCCAGGTCTAGGTCTACACTCCCACACTACTAGACTCCAGCTCTTAAATCCACTCTGCCCTTGTGCCTGATCCTAATTTGTTCTGTTGTGTAATAGCTGTGAGCAAACAACTGTGATGAAGGCTTCTTGTGGGGTTGGGACCTCCTTGCAACCCTGAGGACAGTTAGAGGTGCAGAGGCTGAAAACCCAAGGGCCAGAGAGCAGCAGCCCCCCCTGTGCCCCTCACCGGTCCTAGCCCACCGCTGTGTTGGCCTGCAGAGGCCCTCTCTGGTGATGGGGTGCCCTCTAGTGACCGATGGGTGGAAAGCAGCCCTCGACGTTCAAGTGGCTGCCCTCTGTCCAGGGCTGTTGAGACAAGTAAGTGCCTTGAGAGCATCTTGTTCTCTCATCTGTCTTCTCTCAAACCCCTCCCCAGAGCAGTGAGGCTCATCTGTCTGCAGAAATGAGACATCTGTCTGAGCCTTTCCACTTAGCTCTTGGGTTTCATTGCTACTTCTGAATAGAAGATTATTTTCACTGTTTTATTGAAGTCCTGCCTACTGCAGTTCTGCTCCTTCCTCGGTGGAGAGTTGGAAACCGAGTGGTCACCTCTCATTGCTGCAGCCCCTCGTGCCTGCAGAGCTTGGCTGATGGGACTGTTGTCGCTCCCCAGCTCCCGCCCTGTGGCCATTCCCCCAAGTAGAATGGCAGCAGGACGAGAAGGAAAAGGAGGAAGGGGACCGCCTCAGCCTTGGTCTGAGGCCACACAGAGCGAAGACTGCAGTGGCAGCGAGCCAGAAAGAAGGGCAAGGATTCCCTGAGAAAGACCTAGGTCCCCACACCGGATGTGTCAGGAAAGCATTCTACATCTCGAGTGCTAAGGAGAGAGGCCGGAGGTGAGAGGCAGGTGTGGTGTCTGTGAGGAGGGCAAGAAGGCGGACTGTCGGGCTTCTAACTGGTGTCACGGGGCTTGGGTGACACCCGTTCTACAGCCGTACGCCCTACTCAGGGCTGACTGGGAGCCGCCAGGGGACAGGCCATGGGAAAGCCCCTCAAGGCTCCCTCCCTAGGAAGGCACAGACAGGTCCTCTGAAAGAGGCCAGGCCCCCCAAATCCTGTTTCCTCTTTCCTCTCTCACCCTGCTGCTCTGACAGTGAAATGTTACTATTATTTTTGTGTGTCTAAGGCCCAGTCCAGTGACTGGCATCCACGGGTGCTCGGTGAATGATTGCTGAATTGATTTGAATCTCTTGCTTCCCTTCAAGTCCTATTTGAAATTACCATTGTTGAACCTACTTATTGTTCGTACAGCACCTCTTGGGGTATGAGTTCCGTATGCCTACAGCCTTCTTCTTGTGTGAGATATAACACTACTTCTTCTCTCAAGTAATAGTATTCATTGATTGATAAAAGTCTGTCAGCCGTTCTCATTCTGGGCAATTGTGGCTTTTTAAACTTGTGTCTGTTTAGCCTTCTTTCCCAGGCACAGGCCTCATCTCTTCTGAGCGTCCTCACCCGGCAGCTCTTCCTTCAGTGGCCCTCCATTCCTCCTCCTGCTCCACCTTGACTTTCTAAGTGCCAACTGCCTAAGTTCCAGAATCAGAAGACCCCAGGCTCTGCCAGTGGCAGAGAAGCCACACCTGTTTGTGGCCAGGGCACGTGTCCCCCAGGACAGCATTTTGCTGTCCTCGGCAGTAGGTTGAAGAAGGGCTCTCCTGCCTGGGTTTTAACCAGACACCGTAGGGCTTGTCGCCCCTGAGACGCTGACTGATGCCACTCTCCCTGGACACGTGACGCCGTTTCCGCCTTTCAGGAGTTTTGTGCTTGGGTGCGTCCTGGTCATCTCCGAGTTTGACCATGTGGCCCTCGACTCTCGAGTGGGTGACCTAGGAGACGTATCAGCCAGCCTCACATCCTGACAGTGTCTGTGAAACCCCTCCACTCGTCTGAGAGTCTTGTCCACCTTTTCCATCTTTTCCTTTTAAAGTTTTTCACGGCATTTTCCTTTCTGGGTCAAAATATTCCTCCTAATCCTGCTCAAGTTTAGTTTTTTTAAACTACTTCACCAACAGCATTTTAAGAACTCTGAACAAATCATAGTCTCCCTTGCCCCTCGTCACATGTTTATAAACTTCACAAATTTCTGTTTCCTAGTGAGAGACACTTATTTTATATAAGGAAACACGTTACTTTTTTCCACGTTGTTTGTTTAGGTTGCAGTAACCTGTCCTCCGCCTAACAGAGAGGCCCGCAGTCTGCAGCTGAGCCACGGCTCCTCCCCTGCCCGCACCCCCGGCACAAACACGCCACTTGCACGGCCCACCGAGCTCAGCACCTTCACACACGCAGCCTCCTGGCTGGGCAGCGTCCACCAGCCCCCCTGCCCCGCCCGTCCCCCATCTTCCTCCTGGGACATCATCCACGTGCTGTGCACTTCTTTTCCTCTTCTTGCTCTGCGTGGAGCGTCAGCAAACCACACCCTTTCCCCAAGTCTTAGTCACACGCATGTGCACACACATGTCTGCACCTTTTAACTCCTTGTACTCCCTCTCTAACTCCTCTCAAGTCTTTGTCTCCCAGGAGCCTTCCTCGGCTCCACCTGTCAGCCGGCAGCGAGCCCACATCATGGCCAAGGGACACAAGGCACATATAAAGCACGGTGTCTAGAGCTAGCCGGGGACCCCAGAAGTCACCTAAAAATATAACTCCTCCCTTTTACAGATGAGGAAACAGAGGGAGGCCCAGAAAGGGAAAGACACTTAGCCAAGGTCAAGAAGCCAGAGTGGCGCTGTAGGCACGAACCTGTGCTGGGGCGGAGGGAAGCCGGGAGCTCTAGCGTGTGCTGCCGGACCCGGGCTGGGCTCTTCACATTCCCTCCGTCTCACTGGGTGGCCTCACCTCCTCGTGACGTTCTGTCACTTCCTTTAAGTCAGAACTCAAGGGCACTTCTCTACACCACCACTCTGACTTCACAGCCGCCCCTGCTGCGCCACCTTCTCCCGCTGTGACGCCGCGCGCTTGCCTCGGTGACACATGGCGCGGATGTGTCAAGTAAATGTGGTTTTGCCTCTCCAGCTAAGATATGAGTGCTAAGAAAGAAAGTATCACACCTCTGTGTGTTTCGTTTTGTATACCCACCTCACATGACCAGACACCTGGTACAAGGCTGGAATTCCGTAAAAACGCTTGGTAAATGGATACATGGATTTGACCTGAGTAGCAATCGTACGTTGCTAACTTTTGAGCCAGAGCAGGCAGGGACTGTCAGTCACTATCGTGCGTAGGTTCTGAAAGTCGGAGGACCTGCAGAGATGTGAAGAGGGCTGTGTGTAGGGGACTAGGCGACGGAGAGGAAGGGATGACATGGGAGCTGGCAGGCGGGGCTGCAGGGTGAGGAGGCCAGCGCCCGCCCGCGCCTGTGGCCCTGTGGCAGCGCGGCCTCCCTGGCCACGGCGATGCCCAGAGCTCTGTGCTTGGTGGTCTCACACCTGGGAAGTCTGAGCCCTGACAGGCCCCCAGCAGGCTGGCTGTCGATGGGCCTTCAGTACTCATCACCCATGTCCCCTCTGCCCTTCCTGTCTCTCCCCAGAGCCGAAGGACGAAGTGGAGGTGTCAGATGATGGTGAGTCATGGCCGCCCGGCCTCAGGGGCGCACTCGGGGTGGGAGGGAGCGGGCAAGGGGTCTGATGGCTCACACCACCCCAACCCCACCCCGCAGATGAGAAGGAGCCCGAAGTCGAATACCGGACGGTGACAGTCAGTACCGACCGAAAGGTGTCTGACGTCTACGACGTCGAAGAGAGACTAGGATCGTAAGTGGGGTGGGAAGCACCCTCTGGGCCCCCAGCGAGAGGGGGCACAGATCCCACAGTTGAGTTCCACGCTTGTCTTCCTGTTCTCTCCTGGGCTTTTCCAACTCCCCAGGCTGCTGTTCCTGCAGAATCAGCAGGGACTGACCTGCCGGCCTTCCCCGGAGTGGCACCCACCGCGGGCTCTCGCAGGAGCCGCTCGTGTGGTTCCGCGCTGGCCCAACTCTGTGAGGCCTGTGCGAGTCCTGCCCCGACTGGGTCTGCATTGAACTATCTCCGGGATCCCATCAGCAGGTCCCCAGAAGGCAGTCAGGCCCGAGCGGTGCTCACTTCACCAATTACAGCTTCAGGGCTTCAGTAAAACGCACCCCCTCGGAATGCACAGCTGCCCATTGTGGCTCACTTTATGAACTTGGTCCTCCCCCTTTACTCCGAATCCTCCCCGGGGTGTGGACCCCAGCCCCGAGCTCTCATCACAGCCAAGCCGTGCCCTCCAGCAGCAGTACCCCAAGCTGCCTGTCTCCCACTGACACTGTTCCCGGAGGAGTACGGGAGGGGGAAGAAAGGGGCATGGGGCTCAGCTTTCGTTCTCAACCTCGCAACGGTGCACGTGCGGGGCCTGCCCATCAGTGGGAGCTGTGTCAGAGGACCCACAGTGGGCAGAGGGGGCTCCCCTGGACTGTCCCCAGGGGGCAGTGCTGGAGCGTGGAGTGGAAGGAAGGTAGCCACTCAGGGAAGACTTTCTCACCCCAACTCCATGGGTCCCTGTGTGGGGCAGGGGAAAAAGTCCACCAGCTGAGCTTGAGGCCTCACCGGGGAGATGACAGTCCTGGGGAAACAGCAAGACCGGCCGGTGCCTGGGAGGGGAAGTGGGGCACAGACTGAGGTTGGCAAGTGATAAAGAAAGAGTAGGTTTGCAGTATTAGAAATGCCCTTCATTGGTCTAGAGCAGTGCTGGCAAACCTATTCTATAAAGGGCCAAATGATGGGCAGTTTAGGTTTTGTGGGTCATACGGTCTGGGTTGCAGCTACTCCTTCGTACATTCAAGCATGAAGCAACCACAGGCAGTGTGCATACACATGGGCATATTTCCAATAAAACTTTATGTAAACAGGCGGGCCACAGTCTGCCAACCCCCACTTTGGAAAGCTTGGCCAAACTGGCCTTTTCTCTCCTTTCATCTGCAGCGGGAAATTTGGACAGGTCTTTCGGCTTGTAGAAAAGAAAACTGGAAAAATCTGGGCAGGGAAATTCTTCAAGGCATATTCGGCAAAAGAGAAAGAGAATATCCGTGAGGAGATCAGCATCATGAACTGCCTCCATCACCGCAAGCTGGTCCAGTGTGTGGATGCGTTTGAAGACAAGGCCAACATCGTCATGGTCCTGGAGATGTGAGTAGCCTGCTGCCCAGCAGCCCGGGAGCCATGGGCCTGGGAGCCCCCCGAGTGTCTCCCCCACTGTCCCACCTCAGCCCCTCTGCTGCAAGCAGGGGCGTGACATGCAAGACGCTCACCCGCCCACATGGCCAGGTGCTGGCCACTGAGAAGAGCCCCGTGCACAGCACTGGGCCTGACCTGCGGACCACCGCTGCCCCCTGCTCATTTTCACAACAAACAGGCAGCTCTTTGAGAGCCCCTGTGCCCTTTCCACCCTCAGCTCCCTGTGGGTGCTCTTTGGTTTCTTCCAAGGGCTTTCAGATCTAGAGGTGGCTTTAGAGTAGAAGGGGAGGGACAGGGCAGCCTCCTGACTAGGCCGGGAGCTCAGAAGGTAGAAGCATAGCCCTTGCTCCCTTGCTGTGCACTGCGTGCCCCGCCCACGCTCCTCTGTACTGTCTCCACTTCTCACTCTCCAGACAGTAGCGCTTCCTGTGCTGGGTTGTACACAGGTGGGGGAGGGGTCAGGTGACCCCCAGCCAAGGCTTTCCTTTCCCAGGCTTCCCTGCCGTCCTGTTCCTCCACCTGTCTCACCTCTGAGCTGCTGGCCCACAGCCACACACACAAACACATGCGTGCAAACACACCCACCCACTGAGAATCACACACAAAATGCACCTGCCGACGTCAGTAAGCCAGATGTCCTCCACAGTGTCTGTGTTTTTTTAAGCCTTTCTTTTCCTTTTTCTGATTTGACTGTCTTTAATATATACTGTCACATCAAAAACTATGAGATCACATGCAATGAAAAGTCGCGTTCCCACTTCTGCCCCATCTTACCCTGTTCCTACCCACCCCACCAGGAACCAATCTTATTGCTTTTGTCTATATCTTTCCAGTTTCTTTATGAAAATACAAACAGATAGAATACATATATCCACATTTTCTTACCTTTTAACACAGAGGTAACTTGCACTCAGGATTCTGTACTTTGCTTCTTTTCCACTCAACGGTTTATCTTGGAGACAGTCCCGTGTCAGTACGCAGTGAGCACCTGCCTTATTCTCCCTGCTGCCCGCAGCAGCCTCGAGTGCCTGTGCCACGGTTCATCGTCTGCCTTTGACGGCAGGGTGGAGGGTTTCCAGGCTTTTGCTTTCATAAGCAAGCAGTTCTTTACTCGTGCCGTGTACATCTGTAGGATAAATCCCCAGAAGTGTGGGAGGGCTGGGTCGACGTGCGTTTGAAATTTTTGAGAGATAGTGTGCAGTTGCCTTTAGCATCCTCGAACTGCTCCTCCACGGCAGGGCCTTCGGCCTTTGGCAGGAATGCTGCCACCGTGTGCACATTCTTCCCAGGCCGGGGAGGCCGGGGAGGCCGGGGAGGCAGCCCTGGGCTCCAGGTGTGAATCCCTCCCCTCAATCTGAGAACATTTTGATGTGTTCCTTTCCGTTTATGTTCCTTGGGAAGGCGCAGTAGTTAATGGCACAGACTTGAGTCCGATAACCCTCCCCTCGGGCCCAACTCTGCCTCTTACTTGCTGTGTGACCTTGAATAAATTATGCAACTATGCCAACCCTTAATGATGTTATTTGTAAAGGGAGGATGTAAACTGCCCCATGAATAATGTGGGGATTAAACGGAATAGTGTATGGTAGGCACAGTGCTCTGTAATTCAGAGTTATTCTTAATAGTGCGATGCATTGACTTTTTCTGTATCCTGGTCTTTTTTCCACTGAAAATTATTTTGTGAGCATTTTAACACCCAACTAGGTATTGTGGAACAAATCCTACTATTCAGGTTCTATTACTATTTAGCAGTGATTTTGTAATTAGTAAATTATCCTAGTAGGAGAGGTATTTGGATTAGACTCCCATTTGGTTCTAAAATTCTGGGGAACTACAGAAGATTCAAAGAAAATCTTTATTCATATCTTAAACTCTGTTTTCAGCCCCAAACTCAGACTTACGTCTCCGCTTCGGGAAAGATTCTGCCATGTCTGTGACCTGGCCCTCGGCACAGCCCTGTGGGTGCAGCTTCTCCCATTCACTCCGGACCAGGTTGCCAGGTCCAGGCAGTGTGGGCATGTGGGGACATGTGAATAGATGTCTTATCTTAAGTTAGACCATGAGCAAGTTCATGAGGGCGTGCAGGGACGGGGGTAGGAGGCAGCCCCGCTTGGGTAAGGCCGGAGCGGCACCCGTGGGCAGAATACCATACTTAGCTTGGAATCGGGAGTTGGCAGGCTGGATGGAAAATGTTGGGAGAAAATGTAAGAAGGCCCAGCGGTCTGGGTTCTATCCCTCCGCCCCGCACCTCCCCCCAAGGACAGCAGCAAGCCTTCCATGCACGGATGCCAGAGGATTGGCCTGCACTTGGGGGTGAGAACTTGTCCCCTCACAGGAATTCAACCCAAGAAGCAAGAGCAGATTCACACTCGACCTGTACTTTTCTTCCAGCTTAAACAGATGTGGCCTCGGAGAGCTAAAAGGTTGGAGTTCAGTGGTACAATTTGCTACTCCCCACGTCTGATGGAGAGACTGGGATTCAGGGAAGGACAGTGCCTGGTAACAGAGGGGGAAAGATGTGTGTTCCAGGGTCCCAGTCCTCAGTTCCGCTGCTTCAGGTACAGCAAGGAATCGGAGTTGGTGTCTTCAGCCTCTCTGGCCTCTGGTGAAGGTCAAGTGCCCATCACTGTAGCAGTGCTGCTCCGAGACGGGGGCTCCTCGGGCTTCTGGCCCGGAGTCTGGGCTTGGCCTTCTGGGAGTACTTGGGCCCTTCCAAGTGGTGGTGGGACCCTGCGCACTGGCGCGGATGGGCAGCTTAGGCTGAGTCACCTCTGGCCCATCTCACCTTGGCGCTGCCACTGGCAAAATGTGTCAGAGAACATCAGCTACCTCTTTGAGACAAGGAGTTAGAGGGCTTGGCGCCCAGTTTCCTGAAGCGCCATTCCTTCTAGCCTCCAGTGAGGGCTGGTGAGGTCTACAGTCTGAGGGATACATTTCGTCCCTTGGGAGTACGTAGCCTTGGTGGTAGGTCTGCAGTCACTCACCCACTCACTCTTCATTTATAAGCACACATTTCTTGTGGACCAGTCTGGGCCTTGGCATCACCCCACCCCTGCGGGTGGCGACTTCTCTCCTGACAGTACTTTCCACCATGGGTGTCTTGAGTGTTTTGAATGGAAATCTATAGAACCATTCACCCTATTTTTGTAACTCCCCCCTTCCATCCTAGAAAATGAAACACAGGAATAGTTTTCAAAATATAGAAGTATATTTCAATAGGTTTCAACCTGTCTGAACATCTGTTGGATAGGTTACCCCCAGAAACGCGGCAGTAACTGTCTCTGTGATTCCGATTTCTATGACTCAATGCCTCAGATGTCCCCAAGGGCACTGAAGGTAATGGGTGCTTGCTTTTTCTGAGTATCTTAAACTTAAAAGCAAACATTTCCGGGCGCCTTGTCTGTGCCAGACATCGCCAGGTATGATTAAAGTTCTGGGTATGAGGCAGACCTCTTTCAGGCACCTTTACACACAGCTTTAAGGAAAGGCAGACTTTCCCTAAAGGTGCAGAGACAAGGCTGTGGCAAGCAGGGGGGGAAAGGTCATTTCGTATGAGACAGCTGAGTGGGATCTACCAAGAGGATGTGGGTTTCAATTGGCCTCTCAGTGTTTCCCAAACATGTCTGATCATATTTTTTATCTTCTTTTTCTTAGGTAAGTCTCTTTAACATTTTGTATAATAAGGGCTTGGTGATGATGAACTCCTTGAATTTGATCTTATCTGAGAAGCACTTTATCTGCCCTTCCATTCTAAATGAAAGCTTTGCTGGATAGAGCAATCTTGGATGTAGGTCTTTGGATTTCATGACTTGGAATACCTCTTTCCAGCCCCTTCTTGCCTGTAAGGTCTCTTTTGAGAAATCTGCTGACAGTCTGATGGGAACTGCTTTGTAGGTGACTGTCCCCTTATCTCTTGCTGCTTCTAGAATTCTCTCCTTCATTTTAATCTTGGCTAATGTAATTATGATGTGCCTAGGTGTGTTCCTTCTTGGGTCCAACTTCTTTGGGACTCTCTGAGCTTCCGGGACTTCCTGGAATTCTATTTCCTTTGCCAGATTGGGGAAGTTCTCCTTTATTATTTGTTCAAATAAGTTTTCTACTTGTTGCTCTTCCTCTTCCCCTTCTGGTACCCCTATAATTGGATGTTGGAATGTTTAAATATGTCCTGGAGGTTCCTAAGCCTCTCCTCCTTTTTCGAATTCTTGTTTCTTCATTGTTTTGTGGTTGGTTGTTTTTTTCTTCCTTATAGTCCACTCAATTGATTTGAGTCCCAGTTTCCTTCCCATCACTATTGTTTCCCTGTGCATTTTGCTACATTTCACTTAGTGAAGCCTTCATTTTTTCATCTAATTTGTGACTAAAATCAACCAGTTCTGTGAGCATCCTGATCACCAGTGTTTTGAGCTGTGCATCTGATAGGTTGGCTATCTCTTGGTGGCTTAGAAGTATTGGCTCTGGGGCTTTGAGCTGTTCTTCTTGAGCCATAATGTTTTGGTCTGTTTGCACCTGCTATGTATGAGGGGCAGAGCCTTAGGTGTTCATCAGGGCAGGGCAACCCACATTGCTGGGTTGTGACACTGTATGTGGGGGCGGGGTCAGAGAGGGGCAATAGTATTTTTTTCTGCTCTCTCTCTCAGACCTCGGTCCCCTCTGCTGCTTCCCACAAGCAAATTGGGCCCTTCTGGTGTTAGTCCCCAGATATGTGGGCTTGTGCACCCTCCAGAACCCTGTGGGTCTCTCCAATGAACTGTCTGTGAGCCTGGGAGCCTCTCCTGGCACCTCGACCCTGGATAGTTTTTCCAGTTGATGCTTTTAGGCTTTAATTCCCGTTGCTGGGGCCCTGGGTTGTGCGGTCTGTCTCATTGCTCACTCCTTTGCCTGGTTTATCTGCACGTGAATGTGTGACCGTGGTCAGCCAGCCGCCTTGCTCCCTCAACTGTGTCTGCCCATTGCCATCCCATACCTGGGATCTGCCAACTGCCACCTGCGCTCCTGGGTCGGTCTGGCTGCTTTTTCCTGCATGAACCCGCTCTGCCAGCAGCTGACTCCGCCCCTCTTACCAGTCTGGATGAATGGTGCATTGTTGTTGGACTTCGGTACAGTTTAATTTTCTCTCAGTTTTGGTTGTGTTCTGGTTTTTAAATATTTGTTGTTCATAAAGTTGGTTGTGTGAGGAGGTACAGTGTTTCCACCTATGCCTCCATCTTGGCCGGCTTCAATAATCACTTTTAATGTGCGCGGTTTAAATGCTCCAATCAAAAGACATAGGGAATGATGCTGTGAACCTAATGCTGCTGAAATGTACACCTAAAAATGCTTAAAGTGGCAAATTGTATGCCATATATATTTTACCACTATAAAAACATTAAAAAAACTCATTAAGGCTTTTTGATCAAGAGGCTGAAGTGTCTCTTGAAGACCAGACACAGCCATTTCAAAGTGGTACCCAAGTCTGCCTTTGGATGAAGATTGCAGAGCCCAGGCAGAGAGCCCTGCACACAGCAAGGGCTCCAGAGCAATTAGCTGCCACTCCAGCCATCACTGGTCCTTGCCGCTTCTATGCCAAAGTTGTATTTCTAAATCTTTCTCATTACCCTGAACAAAAACCGTGTTCCCACCGAATAACTCCCCCTTTCCTTCTCTCCACTGCCCTGGTGTCCTCTAATATACTTTCTGTCTGTATAAATTTGCCTGTTCTAGACATCTCATACATTTAGAATCATCCACTAGAAAAAAGAAAAAGACGGGGGTAGCTGAATGGATAAGGAAACCAGACCCATGTATCTGCTCTCTCTGAGAGACCTGCCTTAGAACAAAAGCTATACACAGACTGAAAGTACAGCAAGGGAAAAAGATGTCTCATGCGAATGGAAAGGGGTGAAAAAGCCAGGGTAGCAGTACTCGTATCTGACAAAACAGACTTTAAAACCAAGGCCACAGTGAGAGACACAGAAGGACACTACCTAATGGTAAAGGGTGTTACCACTCCAACAAGAGGATATAGTAAACATATCCCTAGTAAACATTTACACACCCAACACTGGAAACCCTAAATATGTGAAGCAAGTCTTGATAGACAGAAAGGGAGAAATTGACAGAAATACAGTCATAGTGGAGAATTTAACACCCCCTTGACTTCAATGGCTGGATGCCCCAGACAGAAAGTCAATAAGGAGACGGCAGCCTTAACTAACGCACTAGATCCCATGGATTTAATTGATATCTTCAGGTGTTTCACCTCAAAGCAGCAGAATATGCATTCTTTTCGAGTGCACATGAAAAAAAAAAGATAGTTAACATTATAGAGCATTTACCATAAGCATTTCAGGTGTATTAATTCATGCAGCCTTCACAGCAGCCCTGCGGGGTGGTACTGGTTTCCTGCCTCTTTGGGGTGCAGAGATGTTCAGTATCGCCTGTGACCTAAGAACAGAGATGACCATATTTTGCCGTGTATAATGTGCTTCCATGTATAGCGTGCACCCACGTTTTTGGCCCAAACTTTCAGGGGAAAAAATCTTTCATTATAATTGTTTAATTTTTTGTCTTAATTCAATTTTTTAATTTATATTTAGAAACAAAACCAGTGATCATATTCCAGGGTATTATTTGCACATGGATATTGTCACTGCTTTCTAGGGTTACGCTCTTAACGCATATGCATAAACAATAGAATTAAAAACAATTACATAAATACAGAATTAGTGCTACCTGTGTATAATGTGCATCCTTTTTTTCTCCTCAAAAATTTGGGCAAAATATGGCAGTTGGACTTGCAGCCTAGGGGAAGAGCAATAGAAATGGAGAGCGTGGTGCCACCTGCTGGTCACCTATGGACCTCCTTCTTGGTTGGTCCTACAGTTCCGTTCCGGCGCCCCCCAGCGGCCCTGGCGCAGCTGATCTTCCCCTGCTCAGCTGGTCCAGAAGTGCGAGAGGCTGTCCTGTGGTGACAGAGGCCAGCCTGACAGAAGCTGTGGTGGCTGCGCCCCCTGGTGTGCCCCTATCTGTCTCTCTCTCCAGGGTCACCAACAAGATCCACTTGGTGATTATGTGCTGAGCACCTACTGTGTGTCAGGCGTGGTGCTATACAAAGATTCCTTCATTTCTATGCAATTCTATGAGGTAGGGACAGATAAAGGAACCGAGGCTCAGAGCGATGAATTCACCCAAGGTCACACAGCTTGTGAAAGGCAGAGTTCAAACTCGGCTTCCCCTTTCTTCATGATGGTGCCCCTTAGAGGAGGGAAGGCCTGTGGAAGAGGACCAGCCTAGAATGTAGCCCACCCAGCCTTGCCCAGGCAGCGGGCCTGTGGGTCATTGTAGAAAAGAGCTTATCGATGTCTAGATGCTACAAAAGTTACCAAGTTGATGCTTTCAATTTTCCGAGCAGTAAACAAGAAAGGGGGTCAGAGGGGTGGGACAGGGGAAGAGAGAAGACCCTTTTAACTCAGGAAGCAAGGCCATGAACTTGCATTGAAGGGCAATATGCCAGCCGGCTGTAGCCTTTGGGGCAGTCCTTAGCAGAAATGCCCTCTGTGGGCCCCAGAGACACTGTGGCCAGGTCCCAAAGTCCATCCGAGCAGGAAGGATGTACCACACCTCCAGCCTGGGCAACAGAGCAGGCAAGACAAGGTAGTTGTGACTGGGAGGAGTGAGCTGATACTACAGTTCCAGCCAGAGGGAGCAAATCGGTCATAACTCTTAAGTATAGCAGGTTACAGCCAGTGAATTTGCTGAGGCTCATTATTGAGGACGCTTTCCTGTTCCTGTAGCATTATTTTAAGCTTCAATTCTCTATGACTAAAGCCACAGCTGGAGTACAAGAATGACCCCTATACATCTTCAGTCATTTTGGGAATGGAAGCTTCCCGGTGGTCACTCTTTTGCTAACAAGATCGTGTCTGGATATCTCAGCTCATGACCACTGCTGAAACGACCCAGCCTAGGTGTCCCCTGAATCCCCCAGAAGCCTTGTGGGTGCAGGAGGAGTCCCCCAGGCAGGACACCAGAGGCCCTCCTCGCACAATGGAAGACTGGGACTCAGGAAGCTGCAGGAAGTGCCCGGCACCCCCGTACGCTGGGCTCTCCTGCCAGTCTCCCCATGCCGCCCCGTGCTCTGACAGCCCCCTTCTGTCCCCACAGCGTGTCGGGGGGTGAGCTGTTCGAGCGCATCATCGATGAGGACTTTGAGCTGACGGAGCGCGAGTGCATCAAGTACATGAGGCAGATCTCGGAGGGGGTGGAGTACATCCACAAGCAGGGCATCGTGCACCTGGACCTCAAGCCCGAGAACATCATGTGTGTCAACAAGACAGGCACCAGGATCAAGCTCATTGACTTCGGTCTGGCCAGAAGGCTGGGTGAGGCCCATCCCCCTCTCCTGTTGTCACCAGCGTGTAGGAGCTGTGGCCGTGTCCCCCACACCGGGTATTAGAGCGAACTGCGCAGTACTGGAGTTAAAGTCAGGGACTGTGGAGATGCCTCAGGTCCAAATCCTGCCCCTACCACTTACTAGCTGTGTGACTCGTAAGTCTCAAAGTCCTAATCTGTATTGTAAAATGGGATAACAGCACAGCCCACCTCACAGAGCTGTTAGATGGGTCGATGCCGGTGCAGTGAGAAGTGCAGTGTCTTACGCCTGGTGAGCGAGTGGTGCAGCACGTGTCGTTGCTGTTGTCGTCTCCTTCTGTATTTTTCACTACGGCGCCTTCAGCAGCAAAACTCACTTTGGTGGTGGTGCTTCCCCACATGTGTATCCCTCTAGAGTTTGCAGAGCACTTTTACACGTGCCTCCTCTCGTGTGACTCTGTAGGCAGGGCAGATCGTATGAGCCCCAGTATATAGACTAGGAAAACGAGGTTCACAGTAGCTTTGCCCAACGGATTCCACCAAGAGCCACAGAGGTGCTGGGACGGGAATAAGGACCCCAGGCCGAGTCCCAGCTTCTGAGGCGTATCTGCTGTTCCTGCGCAGTGGGGGCAGGTGGCAGGAGGTGGCATCTCGGGGCCGTCATACCCAACCCTGAGATGAACTGTCTGCCTCCCACACCACACCACCCACCCGGCCCGTGTGGCTCTTTGATGTCTCAGGAATTGAGGAAACAGCTTCCCCCCTACAGCCCCTGACCACTGCCTTGTCAACAAGGGGCCTGAGGGCTGGCATGAGCTGGCCTTTCTTTCACTGCCCTGCAGGGAGCTAATGCCTGAGCTCCCACCTGAGGCCATGTAGGTTGCAAAGAGGAAAGTGAGGGAGGGAGGTGCTGCCAGGCTCTGACTCCCGGGTGCTCGGCGCCCCCGGGATGGGTGAATATCCCTGCTCTGCTCTGTCCAGCCAAAGGCACAGTGCGGGGCCTCCGGGCAGGAGCCACTGCCATTTAAACACATAGGGCACGACTGGCCTGGGGAGCTGGCAGGATCGGAGTCCAAGGAATATGACAGCAGCCTCCCTGGGTGAGGAGGTATGTGGGAGCAGAGGTGCACCAAGGACCAGAGAACTGGGAAGGTTAAAATGCAGCAGGAAGAGTTCCTGTTGGAGCTGGAGCAGAACTTCCAGGCCTGAGAGCCATTTAGTGCTTCGTCTTAGAACCCCTGCCACGGGCTCTGAGGTTAAACCAGAGCAGATGCAGCGCACGGGCCCGAGGGGTGCCGCCCCCAGGGCTCAAAAGTCCTCCAGAAGCTGGTGCCTATGTGCATACTTCTGGACATCGCTTGTCCTTTATTGCTCGGAGGCACCACCTCGGGGTTAAGGTTTTCCCCTGTTATCCTCCCAGCAGCTCCTGTGGGGAGAGACAAGATGCTACACACGGCGAGGCTGTGGGGCAGGAAGAACGTGGCTCGGGAGTCAGGCCACCTGGGTTTAGGTCCTGATCACCACAGTTAACTGGGCGGGTAAATCACGCCACTTCCCCGGGCCTCCCCGTCCTCCTCAGGAGCGTGGGGGTCATACCTCCTTCTTAGGGTTGTTGAGAATATTATAATAAACAGGGAAGTCCTTATAAGTCCTAGCTGGGTAGCTCAGTCGGTTAGAGCATTATCCCAATACGCAGAGGTTGCAGGTTTGATCCCCAGTCAGGGCACATACAACTATCAACCAATGAATGTATCAATAAGTGGGACAACAAATTGATGTTTCTCTTTCACTGTCCCTCCCTCTCTCTTTCTCTCTCTCTAAAAAAAAAATCAATAAATAATTTTTTAAAAGAAAGTCCTTCTAGAGCAGGTAGCAGACTGTATAGCATGTAATGGGTGTTAGAGTTTGTTATCAAGCACCAGCCGTGGCCCCTGCCTCCAGGCACTCGTGGGAGAGACGACTCAGGAAAGAGCATTTAGGGGAGGGGCTTAGCAGCCTCTCCGGTCCTGCCCCACCCCCCTGAAGACATTTGAAGGGGGAGTTCAGTTCGTGGGTCTCACGGGAGTGTCGCTGAACTTCTTTAGTGGGGAGGCCAGTGTCTGTGTCATTCTCCAAGGGGAGAGCTGCTGGGGGCCGGATCTTGTCTGCGTCCCTCGCAGGCACACCAGTGAGGGTGTCCGCTTACTATGGGCGGCCTCCATGGTGTTCTGACGACTGATTCCCCTCCATCTGGTTACAGAGAACGCAGGGTCTCTGAAGGTCCTCTTCGGCACCCCGGAGTTTGTGGCACCTGAAGTGATCAACTATGAGCCCATTGGCTATGCAACAGACATGTGGAGCATCGGGGTCATCTGCTACATCTTGTGAGTCTCAGATACCTGGGGGGGGGGGCCGAGAGTCCCACAGGAGGGTCCGCATGCCGCCTTGACTTTTGAGGGGCCAGGGTGGCTCATGATGGGGATGCTGCCCCAGAGACAGGAGGGCGGCAGGCTCCCATCTTGCCCCCTGGCCTGCTCTTCTTGTTCCCACGAGGTCGGCAGCCCACTTCAAACTGCCACGGGAGCACCCAGCTCCACACACCAGGATCTGCCTCCGGGCCCCGACCAGCCCTGATGCTGGCCAGCCTGGGGCCTTTGGTCGGGAGGGTGGCAATGCAGCAGGGACCATGTGATATGCCTTCATTTGTGTAGGTGGGGACACAGGGAGGAGGGAGGGAGCCCAGGTGCACATCTCCTGTGGGCGTCATCATTGTCTTCAGAGGGCAGCACCCTGTCCTCACTGCAGAGGGACCCCAGCTGCCAACCGCCTCTCTGAGTCTCCCGTGTGGACTGATTAGCCAGCACTTTTGATGACAGAGACTGCGGCGAGGCCCACAGACAACAGAAGGCCAACGCAGTCAGAACTGGCAAGTCAGGTGGAAATTCAAAGCCATTTCAGTTCCCAAGGCCGGAGAAGAAGAGGGTCGGTGATCTGGACCAGTGCTTCACAAACAGGGATAGGCAGGAGTCACTAGGCCTTTCTTTAGGTTTCAGAGTCGGATTCAGAAGGTCTGGGGTACCCGAGAATCCACGTTCCCAGCAGGGTCCGGGTGCCGGGCTCTGGGACACACCCTTTTGGTGGGGTCTCGCGGTTTGATCTCTGAGGCCCCAGGCTGCAGGAAGCCATTGGCCTCAGAGGCAGCCCCTGGACTTGTGTGGCAACACAGTGTCATGGGATGGTGACCCAGAAGGTAGCCATGCATGAAATCATTCGGGGGGAAAAATTATTGTTAAAGCAAAAGGAAAAATTAAGTGTTTTCATAGAAAATATGAGGAGGACCTCCAAGAGTGCTTTCTTAGACCTCTGAGGTCTTCAGACCCCATGTGATAAACGTCTCAGTGACTCTGCTACGCAGCCATGTCCGGGAACCACTGCTACGAAGCTTTAACCAAAGCAGAGTGACTTTTCGTGCAGTGTGGCTCCTTCACATGCTCGGGAGCACTACTCACTGTGGCCTGTCAGCACAGCCTGCCTCAGTGGGACCTGTGTCACGGATTCTGTACCCGGAGAGCCATCCTCTTCCCCACCCGATCTCACCCCACCCCCATCACTTCCCCCAGAGCGGCAGAGAAGATGAAGCTTCCCGGGAGGGAGGGCCCTGCCTCTCCCAACTCCAGCCCTGTTCCAGGAAAAAGGGTGCTGACACATTAGGAAAACCACGCCCAAATCTGGAGTCCCAGCTCCTTGGTAAATAAGGAAGAGCAGGGCACTGGGGTCCAGCCTGCCCCTCCTGGGGATGCCCCAGGCTGGGTGATGCTTGCACTGAATCTTGGGTCCTGAGGGGGACCCATGAATTTTGAGGAAAGGACTTACTCTGTTCAGACTCAGCTGTCCCAGGTGCCGGCTTGGCCTCTGAGTCCTGCAGACGTCAAGAGACTTGCCTCACTGACTCCATCAGCTTTCCCACTACGTGGAATAGAGATCATCTGTAGCCACGGATTTTCACATGGGCTCTTGTTAATCCTCAGGACAAACCTGGGAGTAGGTCATGGCAGGAATCTGGTCTTCATTCGGCATGGCCATGACCAGGGCCAAAGAATCCCACATGGCTGTCCGCACCCCACTGTCCGAGAGGATGACCAGCCACCCCAGTTTACCCAGGATTAGCAAGTGTCCCAGGATGCAGGACCATCAGTGCTAAAGCGAGGACAGTCCTAGGCACACTCAGGCCTCTGGTCTCCCTGCTGGTCAGGGGCAGAGCAGTGATGAGACCACTCAGTACAATTTCACAGCAAACACAGCTGTGTGAACTACACCCAGATCCTACACCGAACACCCTTGGGGCCCCCCGGACCCTCCTAGTGCCCCTCGGTTACTACCCCCCCAGATGTAACTGTAATCCCATGTCTAATGCCACGCTTTAGCTGTGCTTATTCTCGAACTTGCTATAGACAAAATCATACAGAAAGACACATCTGGCTTCTTTTGCTCAATGTTGTGGTTGCAGTCTGCTCCTTCTCGGTGCTGTCCCCTGGGTGAGCCTCATCCCACTCACGTGTCCATGCGACACTGACGGGCTTTTGAATAGATTCCACTTGGGGGTGTTGCAAGTATTCTGGTATGTGTGTGTTCATGAATGTATTTATGCATTTCTGTTGGGTTTACATAATCTAGAACCAGAATTACTAAGTCATAAAAGCATTTTTATTTTAAAGTGAAAATTCTTTTAACTGGAGGAACATAGTAATTTGGATAATAAGCTCTATTGTTTACTTGATTATTTTTAAAGCTAAGACCAAGAAATAGGGGAGAGCTTTTGAAATGGAGAGAAGCTGATTTTGATGAGTGGGGCACCAGCCTGACGTTCTTTGGGCAGGGGGCTTGGGGAGGGGAGAGGGGTGTGAGGCAGGTACGCAGGTCAGCCCTGCACGGCCCGCCGGCCTCCCCAGGGTCCTGGCTCCAGCAGCCATCCCGTGGGCCGCTCCGCCCTCTGGGACTTTTTCCCACTGGCTCTCACATGGGGGACTGAGGTTTGGCAGCTCCCCTTCAGGTCTGGGGCTCTCCGCGGAGCACGTGGTGCCGAAAACAACAGTTGGAGCCAGCCAGATTGCCTTCTTTCAGTCCCGGCTATGCACAAGTCTGAGGCCACTGCTGCTGCACCAGAAGTTCTGTGGCACCCTGTGCACTCTCTGTCCCCCTGGAGCTTTGTTGCCTGTCTGACAGTCCCTGTCAGGGCCACCTCCCACATTTGTGCCACAGAACCCCCTTCGCACTCCTCATTTCCTTTCTGGAAAGGAAGGGTGGAGTGGCCAGGGAGTTGGGGATGTTTGGTGAGCACCTCCTCAGCAGCCAGCGCTGCCTCCGTGGATTTCCCTGGCGGTGCTGGAGGACTCCTCCTCAAAGCCCTGGGGGAGGTCAGGGCAGAGCCTGCCCTGGCCCTGGGAGCCTGGCCCCACCGCCTGCCTGGGTTTTCCAGGCAGAGTAGAGATGCAGCAGGTAGGTCTGTGGGCCCCCTACCCTTGCACCCTGACTCCGAAGACAGACAGTGGATCTTGTGAATGTCCTGGAGACTCTCCTGGTGTTGGAAATGCCCCTTTGGTTTCTAGCAGGAGAGAGGAGAGGGGACAGGAGGGCTCTAGGCCACACTTCCGTGAGGACGAAAGTCTAAGCCCCGACTTTTTCCTGACCTCCTTCCCTCTCCCACCTTCCTCTCCTCTGTCTCCTGAGGACTTGTTCCCTCTCTGCCCTGGGGACATGGAAACCCTTCTCTGTGCCCTGCCGTCAGCCTACTCTAGGACTCCTTCTCTTTCTCCTCCCCCAAACCAAGAGGAAGAGCAAACACTGCCCTGCTTTCTCCTCCCAACCATCTTCCCGACTGGGTGCGGCAACACACTTCCCATTTCTGCTCATTTCTGGGGCACCCACCATGGTCCAGAGAGCCAGAGCCCTGTCCAGTTGGCCTTCTGGGAACAGCAGCCATGAACAGGGGAGAAGTCCCAGTGGCTGAGTGTCAGGTGCCTACTCCGACTTGGGTTTGAACGCAGGGCTCTTCAGAGGGTTCTGGGCCACACCCAGGGCTGCTCCGTCTCTCCACCGGTGACCAGACATGGCTTCTGGGTCCAGCCCCTGTGGCCTTCCCTCACCCCACGCCAACACCAGGCCCACCACCACCTGCAGGCTCTGTCGTCCGGGTTCCTGGCTCGTGGTGAGCGTGACACTGATGCTCTGCTGCCTAGGCCAGTGCACAATAGGATGCCCAGCTCTTCCTGTGGGACCTGCCCACCCTCTCAGATCTCCCAACACACTTCAGTGCTTGCAGGCTAACAGGGGGTCAAAGACGAACTCCTTCTACGCACTCAATAGCGCTGCTAGCGGATGTGTGGTGCTCTGACCACTCATGCAGTGGACCATCTGTTTGCTGCTTGGCGAGCACCGTGGGGAAAGTGTAGTCCAAGAGGCATCTCTGCACCCTTCTCTCTCTTGCCGTTCTGCCCTGTGAGCAGAACGGGCCTCAGCACCCCACCGCCCGGGCAAAGTTTTGCTGCGGTGAGGTATTAAGAATGAAGAAATCAGAAGACCCTGCAGTCATGACCTTTGTGAAGCATCAGCACACAGACTAGTATTTGACCATTGAAAATGAACATGAAGACTCGGTATACACTGTTGAAAGACCATGTCAAGTGAAGAAAAAGAGCATCCAAGAACTTGTCCACACTGATTACAATTTGTGAAAACCAGATAAATCCATTGGTTATGTTGGGGAAGTAAATACTTTCCTCTTGCCCGTTAGGTTCAGTAGTGGGGGGCCGCCAATCAAACTGAGAAAAGGCAGAGAAACCAGAGGAAAAAACAGATTTAATTACGTACATATGCATAAGCAATAAAGAACCGTGACTCAAGGAGGCATTTCGAATTTGAAGCTTATATACTATTTTAACAAAAAGTGGTAAATTGTAGAGAAGTAGCTAGACTAGGGAAAAGGGGCTTGGCATTTCTGGAAGGGTCAAGTTTGCGAAGGTCCAAGGAAATGTATGGTAAATAAGGGCTGTATGGCAAGTTTGTTATACATGTAAGAGTCTTCTCTACAAACAGAAATTTATGTCACTTTAACAAAGAGAAATTCATGTCCTGCTTATATTTATTTTTTTTAAGATTTTATGGATTGATTGATTGATTTTCAGAGAGAGGGGAAGGGAGGGAGAAAGAGGAGAGAAACATCAATGTGTGGTTGTCTCTAGCAGGCCCCCCAACTGGGGACCTGGCCCGCAACCCAGGCATGTGCCCTGAGTGGGAATCAAATTGGTCACCTTTCGGTTCGCAGGCCGGTGCTCAATCCACTGAGCCACACCAGCCAAGGATATGTCCGGCTTTTAGACAGAGAGAGGAAAGAGAGAGAGCTATTGCCTTTAGCTCAAAACAATCCTTGTGCAGTATTTGGAGAAGTATACGCTGATCCCCTTCAGTTAAAAACTAGGCAAGAGACTAGGAAGAGAGGTGAGTGGTTGAGTTTTTAATGCTAAGTTTATTCTGTTTGTTATTAGGTTACTTTTTTTAAATAAAAAGATGCACGATCCTTATGTAAATCCTGGCAATAAAGTAAAAGTTCAAAGAAGAAAGTTAAAAAAAAAATCTGTAAAATCCCACCACCCAGAAACAGCATTACTAAAATTAGAGCGCTCTCTTTGTCATCGTGCTCTGCACATATTCCAAGTTTTATTTCAGAGACATACCCGTTAATGGGGGAGAGCCTGGCAGGGGCGGGCGCGGGTGGGCAGGGAGCTGGGGCAGGCCGGGCGCCAGCTGGGGCGTGTCAGATGGATGGGCTGCCGGGAAGGAGGAGCGCCAGGGGCCAGAGGTGAGGAGCTCTCCCTGGCTGTGAACAGGACGGAGGTTAAGGCCTATCTTCGCAGGATTCCAGTTCCTAATTAGGAAAGGAGGTTTGCAGAAGGGGACCTCTGGCATTCCACAGCAGGGCTGTTTGCTTTTTCTGCAGTTCTGTGGAGTGCCGCAGGACTTTCCCCCTCTAGGTTTCCAGTGGAAAATGTAAAAACAGAAGGAAGCGGGTGGCCGACAAGCAAGAGTCAGGCTGCTTCCTGATAGGGCTGACTTAGGTCTGCCAAGGAACAAAAATTCAGTGGAATAAATGGGAAGAGCAAATTGAGATTATTGAACAATTCAGAAATTGGGCAGCATCCCATCTAGTAAATGGAGAGATGCTCCCGGTGGATGTACAGAGTGGAAGGGTTTTCAGGCAGAAGGAGGGTGGGGCCAAGTCATAGCCGCGGAGAAGAAGGATTGTTCAGCTGGTCTCCTTCTGCGGGGGCGGGGCCAGCAGGGCTCTCATACTGCAGTGCTAATTGAGAAGTTTCGGACTGACAGTTTCAAGGTTACATTTCTGGAAGCGGCTGAAGTTACAATTAAATCTTGGTTTGATGGTGTGAGGGCAAATCAGTCCATTTGGGGCCTGTTATTACTTTTTTTTAACAGGCCGCACAAGATTGCAAAGACAGGAAAGCTGGGAGCCCCTGGGAATCCTAGCCCAGTACCCTTGAGGTAAAAAGGGGAGACTGGGGCCTCAGCGGGGGAACTCCCACCCTCCCCACTGTAAATGTGACTGCAAAGGATGATCTCCAAGCATTCTTAAAAATGTAAATCGCTTTAAGATACTTTAATGCCATCCATAAAACTCTGTTATCAAAACTCAAATCTATTGGTTGGGGTGAGATAATTCACATTACAACAGCTTTCTTCTTTTTACAAAAGGCTTTACCAGAGGGTACCTTCCTTGTCAAGGTTTTCTCACTGTATTTCAATGGGTTTTGTTTTACAAAACTTGGTTTTCAGGTATAGGTGCATTTCATAAGCTGAGGCCTCTTGAATTGCCAAAACAGCTCTGAACGGTTTGTGTTGCTGTGTATGATGGTAGGTTCACAAAGACCTGGGAGAAGGGGCAGTAGTGAAGCCCTAACTTGGGAGGCCGATGGCATGCACACCGCAGACGCATCTCCTGGGGCTCAGGTGGAGCCAGCGCAGGACCAGCTACACAACGTGTGGGGCCCAGTGCACAGTAAAATGATGGGGTGGCTTGTTCAAACATTACCAAGAAGTTCAAGATGACAGCAGCAGAGCACTGACTCCCGATGGGGCCGTGCCAGGGCGGGGCTCCGTGAGACTGAGGCCGGCCCTCGGTCAGGGCGGGTGGAGCGAGGACACTTGCTGGGACAATGAAGTGCTCAGAAGTGAGAGGGGAGGCCAATAAGCCATGAAGCTGCTCTGTTCACCTTTGAAGTATTTTACCCTTTGAATTTTATTTGGCTTAAGCTATGGGCAAATGAGTCATTCCTGAGATCACACATCCGTGAGGCAGTGGGGATGAACTACACAGAGAAGAAGGATAGCACCTGGGGCATGGATCGAGCTCCTTCAGGTAGACCAAGCCTCCTGTGGGTCTGCGCACTGGACTCACTTCATCACCATAGAAATGTTCGTGTAAAGTGGCACTTAGGACTCAGGCCTAGAGGTGCTGTCACCAGACCCAAGTTCATGTGCCCGATGCTTTGAAAAGCCAAAACTCAAAACGTCAGAGTTTGGACTAAGGAAGGGTTTATTGATCAAGAAGGCAGCAACTGAGAAGATGGGAGACTTAGTAATGCCTCAAAACCATCTTGCTCGCTGGACGAAGTTTAGGGTTTTGAAGGGACTCGGGGAACGGTTATGCAGAAGCGCTGCTGGGGCAAGTTGTAATGGACGACCTGGGAACCTGGCCGTTTGTGGGAAGGGGCTCCAGCACTGCATCTGCCCTGGCAACCGGCAGTTCACTTCCAAAAGGTTCTGGCGTTCAAGTTCCGCTCACGGCCCAGTCCTTTGGTTCCATGTGTGTCGGACAGCGGGTGTGGAGATTTTAGTTCCAGGTGCAGCTGGAGGTCAGCGTTCTCTCCTCTGTGCATGTGTTGGCTGCATGGCATGGGGTTTTAGTCTGTTGTCTCTGAAAAGCAACTCAGTATCTTGTTAAACAGGATAGGACTAGTTCGAGCTGGTTCTGTGGTTGTAACACCTGGTTCAGATCTCACTGGCTGTGAATCCTTGGGCAAGTTAACCTCACACTGTGCCTCATTTTCCTCATCTGTTAAACAAACTAATGAGTCACCCGCATTATATGGTGATGTTAAGATTGAATGAGTTCATCTATTTTAGTCTTTTTGTCCAGTGCCTGGCACAGGGTAAATGTCTCATAAATGTTTGCTGCCGTGATGGTGATGATGGAGGAGAAGGAGCAGGGACAAAAGGAGAGGCAGGAGTGGCGACCACACCGTGGTTAAGTAGTGGGACCTCCTTTTTACAGAGGAGGGGAACCCGTGACACAGTGCTTAGGGGAACTGTCCAGGGTCACCCATGAATGAACAGCCTGTGCTCTTTCCTCCACCGGCGCCACTTATGGAAGCTTTCTGGTTTGGCCTAAATGCCTCAGTGCACTGAACAAGAGTGTAGATGGACGGCTAAACCCACGTTGGTGACTCCAAGTCCCCCACTCGTCTACCTGCCCATCCCTGCCGAGCGCCCGTGCGTGCTTGCTGCTGACCAGAGCAGGAACCGACAGGTGCAGCGGCAGGTGCTGCACACCACTCGACCATCCGTGGTGAGGGGACAGGAGCACAGGGACATTGGAGAAGGTTCTGTGGGGCGAAGCTCTAGCCTGGACTTTGGGGAAGAATAGAAGACAGGGAGGAAGGGCCGTGCTGTGTACTGTGGAAGTCCTAAATGACAGTCAACTCCTTCAGCCTCGGCCCCACAGACAGCTGATGTCCAGATGCAGGAGATGCTGCAGGAGAAGTCACCTGTCACCAGGTGACTTCTCCGCCAGGAGGAGGCCGGGCCGCAGGAGCCTGGGGAGCCACACCCTCTCTCCTTCCCCAGGTGGGAGGAGCGCCAGGCACAAGGGCATCTGGGGGTGCAGGGCTTTGCCAGCCCTCACCTTTGACCTCAGTTAGCACTCTCTCAGAGGGGTCATCTACCTTGCCATCCAGCCCCCCAAAATTCACCTGCTCTCCTGCTCTTCTCTCCCAGGGTCAGTGGACTTTCCCCCTTCATGGGCGACAATGACAATGAAACCTTAGCCAACGTTACCTCTGCCACCTGGGACTTCGATGACGAAGCGTTCGATGAGATCTCCGATGATGCCAAAGATTTTATCAGCAACTTGCTGAAGAAAGACATGAAGTAATGAGTTGAGATTTTAATCTTTTCAGCTTCTCTACTCGATGAGTGTCTGAAGGCAGGGGTTTCCTTAGCCTGTTGTGGGTCCCTCTGCACCTGAGTGGGGTGGGCATTGTGAGTGGGGGGGAAGGGAAGGGGCCTTTCTAGACCTCTGCTCCCCGGTGCCAGACTCTGTACTTGGCTTTGGAAACACCGGAACCTCACCTGAAAAGCAGCGCTTAGCCGCGTGCTATGGGGAGAGCAGCTGCTTGTTGTGGACGAACAATGACAGCCCCCTTTATTTTCTGGGCACAGTTGTGACCTGCAGAAACCCTGCTGCAACCTCAGCCCCTCCTCAGGGTTGCACGAGAAGGATCCTGTTTGTGGGCCCTGATCGTATGTCCAGACTCTCCTGGTTTGGTGCTTTTCATATCTAAATTATTTAAGAACTACCTCCCTGAATATGGCCAGGTACCTTCTCCCACTGGCCAAAGTTAGGCCGTGATCCCAGAGCACCGAGCTCAGCCCTCTCCCGGCTCCGTCTCCGTCCCCTCATAACAGTGCAGCCTGCGAGGTTCCCACCTCCACCTTCCGGCCTGTGGTCTGGGGGTGAATATGTCAAACAGCTGTGAAAAGTGGGAGGCCAGAGTGTGCAGGCGCACAGGAAAGGGCCGTGAGGGAAGGTCAGACACAGAGGCATTCAGTAAGTATTTCATTGAAAGATGAATGGAGGTTGAAGCTGCAGAGGAGCCCAAAGCTGAGGAGGGGAGGTTGGAGGGAGCCTTGAGTGCGGCTGACACAGAATTCACTGATAAGGACCCACCTGGAGGGGAACCAGCTAAATTAAATAAGGAGGGTGCTAAGGTCTATGTGAGTGTAGGGAGAGCAGAATCCCCCCAGGGGAAGGGAGTAGTGGGGGTGTCCGCTGAGAGCAGCTGGCCTGTTGGGCGTCCCATGCCCTCTCTAAGCAGGTGGCCAGATGAGGTAGAGCCTGCCTCCGGGCCCCAAGGAGTTAATTTGGCAACAAGAAGCAATGATAAGCTTTGCCCAAGAAGAGTACTGTTGAATTAGGAGGTATGACAGAGGGTGAGAAAGGGAGGGGCGGCCCACCTCCCAGGGCAGGCCGGAGGCTCTGCTATCGCCAGGTGACTTAGTAGCCTAGGTGTTGCCCCGGCCACGGGATGCATGGGTTCCCCCCCGGCTCGCTCCCCTGCAGGAGAAATAGGGAGCCTGGGCCAGGAGCGTGCAGTTGCTGAGGGAGCAGTGCTGGAGGGTCTCTGACGTGGTTCCGTCTGGTGCTCTGGTCAGCCGCCCGCCTCTCAGTCCTCTCTGGCCATCTCGGGGCCGCTCCTCCGGAGGCTACCTCCCAACTCCTCCCCTGGGAGGTCTTCCGGTGGTTTTCTGTCACAGTCTTTGTGTCAGAAGTAGGCACGACCTAAGGAAAACCTGGGTGCTGTGGGGCATCTAGAGTCCCTTCCAGTGTGAAGGATCCCCATTCCCAAGGTGCCTCAGGGAAATGCGACCCTCTCTCCCAGTACCTCCGGTCCAAGGATGGCTTCACTCACTGAAGATTGGTAAATGAGGTACTATGTGTATATGCACCCTCTTTCCTCATCTGACCTTGTATGAATTCAATGAGCTGTGTTGGCCCCTCTATGCTCATAAAATGTCCTTACCAAAAAACTGATTTCAAATAGATCAAGATACTAGATTCCCACAAACTCTTAAATTTAGCAAGTTTCTTCAACTAAAACTCTTCCTCTATCAGCCCTTTTTAAAATCTTTTTCTATTATAAAGTAATACATGTAAATGATAGAAAATTGAATATAAGAAAATTAAAGTAATTCATCATCCCTATATCTAAAGATCACTACATTTTGCTGTTCTTAGCAAATTTACTTATACTCATTTTACTATGTATGTTAACATTTGGTTCTTTGGGCTTTATTAGTCCTATTACAATTAAGGAGATGGCCTAAAAATGCTTCTGGATTCCCAGAGCTTTCAAAAAGATTAAATGAGTTTCAGTGAGTTCTAAGGTTGTCATAATGCATAGGTTGTATGTAGGACATGGCACTTTGAGTTTTAACAGAAAAAAAAATACTCAACCTGATACTCAACCTCAACATAAGACTTGAGAGTTTATGGATTCTCAATGATTCGGGCCTAATGTTTCACTTGAGGGGGTGACCCCTCCACCAGACAGAGAGGTCTCCTTAGCCGCCAACCCCCGTGTGACCAGCACAGTGACCCTACCCTGGAATGTGGTGCCAGCCATTCCCAGACATGTCTGCCTTCCAGCACTTACCCTTCTCAGACCCCAAGAACAGGTCATGAGGCTCCAGTTGCTTACTTGGAAGTTAGGCCTTCTTAACCCTTACCTATTCTGTGTCTAGTCTGTAACCCAGGGCAAGAGAGGAAAAGAGCCAGGAGCACATGACCCTGGTCATGGTGGATGGACTGGGAGTAGAGCCCCGGGCTCTTCCCTGTGGGACTAGGGCCCTATGTCCTCCCATTTCTGATCTGACTAGCCATCTCCAAGGTCTCCTCCTGCTTAGAAATCTTCTGCTCTCTGCCCCTATCAGAAGCCGCCTGAACTGCACCCAGTGCCTTCAGCATCCATGGCTAATGAAAGACACCAAGAACATGGAGGCCAAGAAGCTCTCCAAGGACCGGATGAAAAAGTACATGGCAAGAAGGAAATGGCAGGTAATGAGTCAGTCACTCTGGACTGGAATGTTGCTCCTCATATTTACCTTTTTCAAGCCATGCTCATTCCCAACTTGCCCCAGCCTCACTCCCAGAACGTTTCAGTCTGTTTCTGAAGTAGTCTGGGACCAAGACTGACATTCGGTGTCTTGGAGCTAGGGTGAGCAATGTCACCGTTCAGACCACCTGGCAACCCTGGGCACCGTGATCTCCTTAAAGGTAGTGTGATGCTCCACATTCCTCCGTGGTGAAGGGGGAAGGTATGTGGCCTACACCACGGCCCTGCCCTTTAGAGAGAGTGTATGTTACTAGCTGTGTGTCTTTAGGCAAGTGACTTAACTTTGCTGTGCCTTTGTTTTCTTGTCTGTCAAGTGGAGACAGTAGCAATGTCACAGCGTTGCTCTGAGAATTATATGAATAATCTTCATCCGGCCTCTAGCACATTGCCTGGCACATAGCACGTGTTCAAAAATGACAGCAGTAGCTAATGTGTATGGAGAGCTGGCCGTGAGTCAGAAAACATTCAAGGCACTTTCTATGCACTGTCTTAATCCTAGAGGTAGATATTATATTATCCCCACTTCTCAAACAAACTAGGCAGAGAAAGGTTAGGAAAGTCACGTGGGATCACTTAGGTGACAGTGGGAAAGGCAGGATTCAAACCCAGAGCCTGGCTCCAAAGCACTCAGTCTTAACAATGACAAAAAACTGCCTTCAATTGTTAGCAGACGGATAAAATGATCTTTGGAAACCAAGAGAACTTATCATCTACTGTATTAGTTTTACTATCACTATTAGTGTTATAAAATTCCTGGGCTCCTGAAGGGTACATGGTTTCTATATTCAAGGAATGAATATTGTAAGGGAGGAACTGAAGCAAATAGACATAAAAGGACATTACACCCACCAAGAATTATAAACTATCAGTATAGCTCTTCATAGCCATATATGTGAGTGTGGACAGGGGCCAGTCACGCCAGACTCGGATGCGGTTGTGAGCAAATGCTGCCAGGGCCAGAGGATGAACTTGGCCCTGGAACATGGGCTGGGACACAGAAGAGGGGGTGACAGCAGAGGCAGAAGAAAAGGCACAGGGGCAGGAACTGAGCCCCACCTGGTTATGTTGGCCTGATGGGAGCAGAGTTTCAGCTGGGCAGTTGGGGACCTAGGGCATTTAGACTCGCCTATGTTGGCAGAGAAAAAGGAACTCACTGTTTTGGGGGCAACTGGGACACTGGTCATTTGCCAGGATGACTAAACCACAGTTCCCTCATGAAGTCCAACTGCACGTGAAGTTGGAGCGCCCGAGTGGAGACAGATGAGAGGCTTTGGGCGGGCAGGTGTGAGGGACCACCACCCCGTTCCCAGCACAGCCTCACAGCGCGTGCCCGTTCTTGACTCCCACCCCCAACCCTACGTGAAGGCTTTGGGTGGATCTCCTGGCACCCCTCAGGCGCCTGGTGAGGTGAAGTACGTCTGCCGGTGCCATTAGGATCCAGTGATATCAGAGTGGCAAATACTCTTTTCTTTAGAGAGAGCGAGAGAAAGAAAGAGGGCCTGAGAGGGAAGTACTGATTTTTTTGGTTCCACTTATTTACGCATTCACTGTTTGATTCTTATAGGTATACCCTGACCAGGGATTGGACCTGCAACCTTGGTGCATGGGAATGACACTGTAACTGACTGAGCTACACAGCCAGGGAAAGTAGCAAATGATCTTACAAACTAAACAGGGTCCACAAAAATCCAAGGTTCACTTTATTAATGGCCCTATGGCCAATACAGCTCAAAGAAATAGCAGTATTTCTGGAGCACAGATAGGGTGGCTGGGTGGGGGCGGGGCCGTCCTCAGGGGGAGTCCCTGGACTCTGCCCGGGTGAGGCTGTGGGTTGAGGGGCAGCCTTCTCGCTGTCCTGTAGCTCGGGCTCCCTGCAAGCACGGGCTCACCCGAGGGTGAGCCGCCCTCGGGCAGGCACGGAGGAGAGATAAGGACTTGGGAGATAGAGCAGATGGAATTTTTTAGTCAAATGGGTCAGGAACTATAATTTGTGCTGGTATTTTAATCACTGAAATTTTTTCTGGTTTACACTGTTATTAGTCATAGGGTTTTCTGGAAGTAAGGGGCGGAATTTCTGGAAGAAAAGGGCAGAATTCAGAGAAGGAATTTTACAGTCATTTTAATATAGGTGGCAGCATTTGGAAATGATTTTTTCACAAACAGTGGCTAGGTTTCACAAAAGTAGACCACAAAATCCCATTTCACCCACAATGTCCTTGAATCATGATTTCTCTGGGAATAGTTACGCTGCATCTGACCGTCTTGTGTTCCTTTGCTTCCTCAGGAAAATGTTTTCCTAAGGGGGCTCCCTGTCAGAGCAGTGAGGTTCTGTGTGGCGGGGTAGGGTGTGGTGCAGCAGGACAGTGGGGCGGACTGTGCTGGAGGGAGGGGAGTCGGCCAGGCCCAGGAGCCCAGAACGCTCTACAGATGCATGGGAAGGTTCCTCGTTATCATTCTGGTATGTTGTTCGTGAAAGACCCAGGAGGAAGGAAGTAACATGGAATCAAATGCCTATACACGAGGCTTTATAGAGAGGATTAATAGAATGAAGTTATTCTGAAAGAGGGTATGATCTTTCATGTCTATCAAAAGAATTTTTAAATGATGTGGTGGTGAGTAGTAGCACTGAGGGTGGGCAAGTTGAACAGGATAGCCGGGCTTCTGCATGCAAAACTAGAAGCAAAGGACTAGGAATGTGGAGACCCATGGGAAATCATCTTTATTTTCTGGGAACTGCAAACACGCCAGCAGTATGGACCAAAGGGCCACGGAGGGGAAAGCTTTTGGTGCAATAAAGCACAGGGTACACTTGACAATCACGTTGGGGTATCATGCACTTCTCACAGGAAACCCTAATCTTGGGGCTGTTGGTGTTTATAGGGTCTATGACGGCTGGTTGGCTGTCAGGTAACCAACCAGCTTGCCCCATTTGCCAGGGAATGACTCAGCGTTAGCACTGAAAGACCCTTATCCCGAGAAGCCCTTCAGTCCTGGGCGCACAGGCTGAGTGGCCACCCTTGCTGGCCCTCCCAGGGGAGGGAATCTGCTGCTGCATCTGAGAGGCCAGTACAGACACTACCTGCTTGGAACGCAGCAACCCGGGCTTGGCCATTGCCCTCAAACGAGAAAAAGGCTTCCTCAAAACAAGGATGGAACTTAGAAAATCAAAACATCACTATCCTGTTGTTCCAAAAATTCCCAAAGGTCTTGATCAAGTAAAACAGCAACCAATTTTCAGGTCAAAGGCATGAAACTGGAAGATTAGAACATACAGATATATTCCTTTTCCAGTTCTGACAAATGACTTCCCTACCAATTTTTTTTTAATATTTTATTTATTTATCTTTAGAGGGAAAGGGAAGGAGAAGAGGGAGAGAAACATCAATGTATGGTTGCCTTTTGTGCATCCCCTGCTGGGAACTGGCCTGCAGGGAACCGGCCTGCAACCCAGGAATGTGCCCTGACTGGGAATCGAACCTCGATTGTCTGGTTCGCAGGCCGCGCTCAATCCACTGAGCTACACCAGGCAGGGGACCCTACCAATTTTTTAATAAATCAGTTTCCAAAGATTGAACTCTGGCATGGCTTATTTTAATTTTTTTCCTTATTAAGCATATCTTACATTTCTCCCTGTTCTAGAAATTATATGCTGTATTGGACCATCTGACGGAAAATTTCCCCTCATGTATGCTCTATTTGTTCATGTGAATTTGCAGCCTCCTTGAAAATATCACAACTCTTTGACTTGCCTTGTTCTGGTAACTTCATATTAGTCATTTTGTTCATAGAAGAGGAAAGACTTCGTCAGTCCTTGTCAGTCACCATCGGGTGTTTGGGATTCGGCCGCCCAGGGACTCGAGGCGCGTGTTCCCTGCTGCATATTCACAAGCATGAGGCCTGCGCTTTCTGTAGAAGACTAGAGCTGCAGGAAGATTTGAATCTTCTGGTTCAAATACATGAAGCCCAGAGAAGGAAACTGACTTGCACAAGGTCACACAGTCATCAGACTCTCTTAGTTTAGATACTCCTGGCCAGGGCAAACCAATCCATATTGGAGAAAGGAAACAGAGAGGAGAAGGGCAGACTAAGATTGTGGCTGATTAGGAAGTAGCCTGGTGTTGACTCCGTATGGACAGCTGCCTGTCTCTTACAACTCTTTCGCCTTCCTGAGGTCCAGGGAAGCTGCCATGGGAAGAGCTAGGTCTCTCACCACTCTAGCTAGCACAACAAACAGATTGATGTCACAGCCTCCTCCAGAAGAGCATGCAAGATTTTAGATGGTCTTATTCTCTGCAGGGCCCATGGCCTCCGCATGGAGTTAAGTTGGTCCATCATCATCTCTTACCTTCTTTCCCCATTTATCACCTCCCCCTGGGGTTTCCTGGGTTCTGTTCCGAGTGACCCAGTTTCACCATAGTGACCAGAGGGCCAGAATCTACCCACACCACACAGTGATGTATTCAAGAGGGTGGATGGCCAGAGAACAGACAGAGCAAGATGAAATGTCTGTCCAAAGTGCATGAAAATAGCCTGCCACAAGGATGACATGTGACGAAACAGCAAAGTGATCATGGTCACAGCAGTAGGCCACCACTTAAACCACACACACACTTTTCTGTATCGTTCCTTAGTGGCCTGAAATTCTTTACTTTCGAAATAATCTTTTGACTGAAACATATTGGCTTTCCAGCTAGTCTAGAATTGTGAGGCTTTACTGAAATACTTGGGTGTATGATGTTAATTCAGGAAGGAAATAGCTCTGGCACAGTCTGAGTCCAGTGGGTGAGGACACGCCATTTGCCGGTGTCCTTACTCGCTTAGCAGCCAGCCTATGGCGACATGAGCTCTGGATGCACAGCATCTAGGTGTCTGAAGATGCTTTGGGTGCAGCAGTGGGAGGAGTTGGTTGTGCTTTAGTTTCTTATCTTAGTCATTCCATTGACCTTAGAAAAGGGGTGAGAAACTTTCATTAAAGGTGGGAAACTCAGACACATTGTATTACTGGGGATCTCTCGACCTAAATCCTATGCTTGGTAGAATTTTCACACTGTGGAGAAATTTTCACCTGAAGTTCTGGCCTCCTTTGCAGCAGAAATCCCGTCCATTCCCAAGGTGCCTTGCCTCAGAAAACCAAAATGCTATTGCTTTGCATTTCTCTGGGTGCTTCTTTCGGATGCCTGGGTGTACATGGGGGGAGAACACCCCTTCAGAACTTTACTGAGCATTCATAGACTTGTAGGGGGGCCAACCAGACTGCTTCTCAAAATCTCTTAAGTATCTGAATTATAAACAGAACTAAATGAGACCTTTGAGGTCTTGTCCAACCCACTCCTTCTGCAGAGAAGAAAACTGAAGCCCAAAGAGGTTAAAAGACTTGCACAAGGTCAGTAGTATGTTCTGCACCCCCTCTTTATATGAGGACCTGTGGGATCTGCAGTAACTGTTTTCTTGACCAATTAAAATCCTACCACTAGCATTGTTTTACGAGAAACAGCACCACTGGGCCCCGCCAGCAATAAGTCTTTGGAGCTGTCTCAGCCTGCAGTTGCTTTATATAAACTATCCCTTTTATGGGAGTTGAAGCACAGTATGAAAAGGGTTTTTGTCTCATGTTGACCTTGTTTAGTCACATTAACGCACACATTGGTTCCAGGCCCCATTCCATTCTCTGAACATCTTCTGACACACTGATAGTGCTGAGCAGAGCAAGGTTGGGCTCACTTCTCTGGCAGAACCTTGGTACTTGGGAAGCCCTCGTTCCACGGACAGCTGCTTCTCCTGGGCCGGGCTCTTCTCCCTGCGCACCACTGCCCAGCGGGAACCAGGGACACTGCCTGAATCCACTTCCAGTGTCTCTTTTCCAGAAAACAGGCAATGCTGTGAGAGCCATTGGAAGACTGTCCTCTATGGCAATGATCTCAGGGCTCAGTGGCAGGAAGTCCTCAACAGGGTCACCAACCAGCCCTCTCAATGCAGAAAAACTAGAATCAGAAGGTAAGACAATACAGGAAGATTTTCTCCAACCAGCTGGGGAGAAAGGAAGGGGGGGGAAGGAGGGGCATTTTGAGGAGGGCTTTTTTTTGGGAGGGGCTGTTTTTCGATAATATAATGTACAAGGATTAAATTCAGAAATACTTTTAGGTTGCTCTGACAATTAACTGGTCTTTAATTGTTTTAACTTAGGTTTAACTATTTTCAGAGGGAAAGTAATTATTCGTCTAATAGAACTAGATGACCTTCACTACTGTTTGCCCTGTATTTTACATAAGAATTAGCAAAGGCTTTATTAAAAGCTTCCTCCTTCCTCATTACCAAAGTTATACTTATATACTAATAGGCAACCATAAAACTTAAATCATATATAGTAGTGTACTTTTTTAAAAGTATCCTGTTTTTTCAGTCTCTGTGTTTTCCATTTAAACAAAATTCACTCATATAGTCCATACTCATTTGGCATTTTTTATGACGCTGAAACATGCCATTTGAGCTGGGTGGGCTGTGATTGGAAGGGCTTCTTCCGGAGACCGGTGGGGTTGCTTACTTGCCCACTGGCTCTGAGATGCTGCCCCATCCATCTCCTCAGTAAATGCCTCTGCCCCTTCCTGCACCAGATGCACGCAGGGTCTGGCCCTTACTTTTTTGAGATGTCTTGTTTGGCCAGAGACACCCTCCACCCGCTGCTGCCTGGTATCCGAAGATGAAAAGCTGAGTCAAGATCCCTTTTGGCACAAAGGCAGTGTTGGTGAGGCCACGTGATCTGATGTGGCAGGGACAGAGTCTGCAGCACATGGGTCTTGTCCCTCCTGATCCATTCCTGCCACTCCCAGATGACCCACAAATAGCCAGAATCGGGAGAGAGGATATACAAGCCCCTCCTCCAAGTCCCAGCTTTTCCCTGGACCAACCCCAAATCCCCGTTGGCTGTCATATGCTGTGAAAGCAATGTAAGCAAGGTGACGAGAACTACTGGCAGGTCAAAGATGCCTCTAGGACCTGGCTCCTCCTTGCTAAGGAGCAGGGAAGAACCTGCAGCTACGGTGAGAGGGCAAAGGGGCAACTGATGAGAAGGGCTGCTGTGGCTCTGTCCTTCTTAGATGCCCTCAACTGAATCCTGAAACAGCGTGAAACACAGCCAAAAATCCTTTTTGAAGATTATTTCTTTTTTTCAATGTGTCAGCATAAGGGAAAGGGGTAGTCCAAGCACATCCCCAGTTTGGTCGCAGTTTTCTCTTCTGCCAAAACCATTTGGCAGCAGGCCAACCTATCCCCAGGAGAAAGGTGTGCTGATGATTCAGTCCTCTAAGATGCATTATTTGCTAAATTAGAGCTACTTTAAAAAATTTTTTTAAGTCAGCTTTTTTAAACTAGGGAAGAGGAAAGAACAGGAATACAGATATGACCACATCTTCTCCCCTGTCTTCTAGGAGATGTCTCCCAAGCTTTCCTGGAGGCTGTTGCTGAGGAAAAGCCCCATGTAAAACCCTATTTCTCCAAGACAATTCGTGATTTAGAAGTTGTGGAAGGAAGCGCTGCTAGATTTGACTGCAAGATTGAAGGTAAGTGGAAGCTGCACTTCCCTTAACTACAAAAGGGGTTTGGCTGGCTGGCGGGCCTCAACTGTGTGCCCTGAGCAAGGTGTCAGTTCTGGGGACAATTAGGACCGGCCAGGCTATGAGGGAAACTGGGTCAGGAGGAGTCGGCCCAATGTCCCCGCTCCTCCATCTGAAGGTTAGTGCCGTTCAGTGACATCCCCAGGGGCACACTAATGTTTCACTTACTTACATCAGCCACTGGACCCAAATTAAAAGGGGTTTGTCATGAACAGTAGTATTTGACTATGGAATGTGCTTAATGAAATGAAGTTTTAAGTTTTTGGGGAGCATATGTGCCCATGAGAGGCTCCCTCAGGAAGACTGGCCCAGAGCACGGGACGTGGAGTAATGGCCCTGCTGTTCCTCTGCGGGCTGTGCGACTTTGGGCGGTGACCTAATGCTTCTGAGCCTCCTGCCCTCACCTGCAAGATGATGTCTAATGTCCTGAGTGACTCTTGGGATGCTTAGATGACATATGTGAAAAGTCCTTTAAAAATGTCATGGAGCTGAGGGAAAAGTTGTGGGACTGTTAAGTGCAGAGAGCACGCAGTGTGACTTCAAACTGAGGGAAGCTGGGATCCAGGCACCTCTGCCATCTTCCTCACACTACTTAGCTGGCCAGGAGAATGCAGCCATAGAATCAAGGGACCTTAAGAGATCTTAGCACAGCACATGAGAAATCAGCAATGTTGGTGGCTTAAAGCATTTCAGTTTCTGCAGACTGCAACATTCTAGAGAGATAAAGGGCACAGTAAGACAGACTTCGAGCATGTGACTGTCGTGTGCCAATCAGAGTGGAGGGTTATCTCCCATCTCAGTCTGAGCAAATAAAGCACAGATGCTCATTAAGCAACTTTCTCAAGACTGCACAGCCCAGGGCACAGTCAGAACAAACCATGCCTCCTTCTTGGTAAGATTCTCCAGCAATATGACTAGATAATGCTTTTTGGGTAAAGTAACCCAAAGTTAGGAGTGAAAAAACAATTTTTCACCTGTGTCATTGTATTATCAAAGTACCTTGTAAATGCCTTGCCCACTATAAACTTCCTTCCTTTTCATTCAGTTTTGTAAAACGCGGTGTGCTGCCGCTGCGGGTGCAGAAGTGCCCCGATGGGGCTTCTGCGGAGAGCCCTCCGGCCGCTGCCTGTAACTCACACCACCACCGTTGTCTTCGGGTTTTCTGAAGTTCTTTCCTTTCCCCCTTTTCTATTTAAAAAAAATTATTATAACATAATGACTGTCATCTTTGTACTTAGCTCTTTGGGATTATTTGTTATTTGCATAACTTCAACTAAAGCCCAAGGAGAGATTAAAGCATAAGGATGCTGTTTTGATTGAAACAAAATTCTACCTGAAAAGAATGTCAGAATTCTTAAATTCTGATAAGTAATTTTTATTCTGGTTGAGTCTATCATTTTTTTCCTGCAAGAGTACTTCTCCAAAATTTAAGAACAAGTCAGTTAGAATTATTGTATATTTTAAAGGTATGTTTATGTATTTTTTAATGCTGAACTTTGCAGAAACATGATTAATTCATGGTCCATTTCCAATCATTTATAGGCAGATTATGTCTTTATGATCAAACTAATCCTGTTTACTTTTCCTTAGCAATATTATCAGCTCCTCTAACTTACGTTTTATAGAGCTGCTATCAGCTTTAAGTTATAATTGACACACCACATAGTTCGCCCATTTTAAGTGTACAATTCAATTATTTTTAGTAAATTTACAGAAATGTGCAATCGTTACCACAATCCATTTTCAGCACATTTCCATCATCCCGAAAAGATCCCCTGTGCCCATCTGTCCTGAATCTCACTTTTTATTTAAATTTATTTAAGTTCAACTTTTATAAAAGATGAAAAAGTTTCATTTCATCCCAGAACATATTTGGCACTAGGCACGTAGCTGGCTCTGGGGCGGTGTTCAAGGCAGTACTCTGTATCCGCAGAAAGGTGGGAGGTGGGGCAACCCCAGGGGGCGGGAAATGAGATGACTGCGGACTCCTCCTGGGGAGTTTCAGACATCAGTATTTACAGTGCGTGCCCTATGCAAATGTAAGTATCAAAACAGCTGCTGGAAAGGAACATCATGGTTTTTTTCCCCTTTACTGTATTAATCAATAGAGGTAGCTTGGGAGTTCCTTAAATGCATCGATATGAAATTTTGAATGATAGTTTCTGCTATTTGTGTTCCCTCCCGTGATGCAGGATACCCAGACCCTGAGGTTGTCTGGTTCAAAGATGACCAGTCCATCAGGGAGTCCCGCCACTTCCAGATAGACTACGATGAGGATGGGAACTGTTCTTTAATCATTAGCGATGTGTGCGGGGATGACGATGCCAAGTACACCTGCAAGGCTGTCAACAGTCTTGGAGAAGCCACCTGCACAGCGGAACTCATTGTGGAAACCATGGAGGAAGGAGAAGGGGAAGGGGAAGAGGAAGAAGAGGAAGAGTGAAACAAAGCCAGAGACAAGCAGTTTCTAAGTCATCTTACAAAGACTATTTCTCTAAAGCTCAAAAAACCCAAGACAGTAAAAGCACCTAGTGTGATTGATTACCTAGTTAGGTCATTTGGGGGGGGGCGGTCTTTCTTCAGCAACAGCAGTTCATACTTAGCAGCGTTATTGAAGGGCATTAATTTCAATTAGCTGGCACCTACAGCTAGATTTTATCTTGGGAAATCACAGTAACTTGCCTGACCAGTTGATTTTAGACAGAAAGCAACCAAAAGAAATGTTTTTCTGGTCAAAGTCACAAATCCCCCAGCCGAAAGCACTCATGAAAAGTAAGGCCCTGCAGCCACAGCTCAGCCCCAGGCCCCTGCAGACAGGCTCTCTCTCTGGCTCCTGACTCCAGAGACCTGGGCCCTCTCCAGACTGCAGCACTTCATTCAGAAAGCAGTCGGACTACTTTAACTTATGAGGCACCTTTTATGCCAAAGTATACTGTAGACATTCAGAGTTTCATCCCTGCGCCCCACCCCCTTCTACCTGCCAGTTTGTCTGGATCTGAACTGGGCATGAGTTTAAGGACATTACACTTAGATTCTGAAGGCAGGTCCCCTGCTCATGGATGGCTGGCTTCCTTAAGAAAGTAAAGCCTCCTTCCTTCCCAAATCAGTAGGAGATCTAAACTTATCCCCTCTTGGCAGATGTCTAACTGCTTCAGACATTTTTATAAGAACCAATAGGGGAAAAAAATCCTTGCTCTGTGCTTTTCTTCTGAAACCAGGATTCGTATTTGTGCTGTTATAGAATATCAGCTGTGCATGTATGATAAAGATTTTTGTGTCTGTATGAAAAACCAGTTTGCTGAAAAGTTAGTCTTAGTTATTTATTGGCCACTATGAAACAAATTTCACCTGATGAAGAGCTGTGGAATTCTGCAGACTTTGGAGTCTCCTTCAGGATAGTCTGAGTTTAATACACCTTCATTCTGAGCCCTCTCCAGAGAACTCTGCCTACCTTGTGGTTTCCACGATGGTTTTTTTTTTCTTGAATGTGCGTCATCATGCCTTGCCCCAGACCTTGAAATATATTCTTAGACCTGATAAATGCACTCAGACTTGCATCTTTAGGAATTTTTAACTTTTTTTCACTACATTGGCACTTAAATTTTTCTTTATAAAATTTTAGGAGAGTCTTAAAGAAAGACCATAAACTGATATGCCTAATACATTTCCTCTGCGTGTGTGTGTAACATTCCAAATACTTTATTCTTTTCCACTGTTTATAAAGTGCAGTGATTTAATATTTCAAGGGACTTTTAATAGTTCCTCAAGAACCAATGTTAAATTACTTCAGTGCAATCATACACAGTATCAACATTAGAATTTTGATATTACTTAGCCTTATGTTATCTTCCATTCTATCTTATCTGCTTTTTGCTGCTAGTTTCAAATTGCCAGGATTTTTTTTTTTTTGCTTTTGAAACAGTTACAGTATTTCTCATAATAGCCACAGTATTGCCACAGTTTATTATAACAAAGGTTTTTTTTAATTTGATTTAGAGCATTCAGAGCTTTTCTTCATCACTTTTAATTGTGTTTAGACTATAACCTTTGTGTGTGTGTGTGTTATCTGTATGTGCGCATGTGTGGTGTGTACGTTTGTTTACAGGTTTTTGATGCCTTCTTGGAATTGTGTTAATGTTCTCCCAGTTTATTATGCCATCAGAATGGTAAATGAGAACACTACAACTGTAGTTAGCTCACAATTTTTAAATAAAGGATACCACAGTGCATGCGTTTTGTTCAGTCTTTGCAGCTTTCTTTTTCTTCCACGCCCCCAGCTGTAGGACACCCAGATGGACTGAAAACAGATGCTGTGCTGCCTGAATGGCTTACATGGTTTCGTTTCACTAAGGAGCAGGGTGACTGAGGTACTTCTTGTTCATACTCAGTAGCCTGATTTGCACACTTAGTTCAAAATTTCTCTCGAGCATCAGTTTGGTTCAGTTACATTCTAGATATCTATAGTATGCTCGTAATGCTAAAATCTATATGGCATTTTCAGCATATGACAAAATTGTCATAGCTGATAATATTTACCAGGGCTTGGTTTGCATTTGTAACTTTGGTGCAATTTCTTATTCTCAGTCAAGTGCTATCTTTCCATGTCTTAATATTGAAGCATTTGTTATCGGGAAACTGTCATTCCTGCTTTTTGGAAGTCTGTTGTCAGATATCAGTTGGTCACTCCCCCATGTCTGGAGGTCCAAATGGTACTGCAGACATTCTAGAAAGAATCAAGGCATGTCATCAAATGTTGGCCTAGATACTGGTAATTAATTTGCCCAGTTAATAAGTATTTAAAGTTTTTCATTTTTTATGCAACCACAATCTAAAATTGTTCTTAGTGAGTTATTATTTTTAAAGAAAAGGACTTTTTATTCCTGGCTAGTGAAAAATGTACCAGATATATTCTGTACCAGGAAAAATAACAGATACATTTTCTTCTGTTCCATTTTCACTCCAAACATATAAAGAACAGCCCACTGATTGTTCCTTACATTGCAGAGCTTCCTATGAAATGATATTTCTACGTGTAACTGAAAAGACATGCTGACTGCTGTCAGCTACAGCTTAATTTTTATAGTCTCTTTTTCTTTTAATCAAAATGTTTCATATTTTACCTGCTTTTAATAAATCTGTGCAATGAGTATTCAAGAAGTGAAGGATAATCAAATTCTAAAGAAACTCAATTCTCCACTTTCCAAGAAAACGTAAGTAAGAGTACTTTCCTTACCCCTTGGGAACTCCTTTCTGTACTTTGAGAGGGAGGCTCATGTCTGTAGCAGCCATTACTGAGGCTCCTAGCCCGCACAGTTAGGACAGCACTCCTGCCCCCTAGCTCAGCGGTGCTACGGGGCTAGTCCTGGGCAGTGAACTGTGAGCAGAAGTGATGTGCATCCCCTCTGGGCCAGAGCACTTCAGAACTGGTGCAACACTTTCCGTAACGACTGCCAGCATGTGGAGGTGTCTGCGTTATGCACCTGGCTCCCCAGCCAACCCCCAAAACGCACATAACACAAGCAACAAACAAACCTTTGCTCGTATCAATCACCAAGATTTTACAGCTCTTTGTGGATGCAACATAGACTATCCTGCTATAAGGACATGATTAGATTCTAGATCTGTTCTGACCAATATGGTGAGTGTGAGTCACAAATGGCTATTTAAATTTCAATTAATTAAAATAAATACAGTTTAAAATTCAGTTCCTCAGTTGCACTAGCCACATTTCAAGTGTTCAGTAGTCACACGTGACTGGTGGCTACCTTATTGGACAGCACGGATTAGAACTTTAAAGTCGTATCAGACAGCACTGTTCCATCATGAGGTGGGATCATCCTTACCTGCCCCTCCGTTTGGAGGGCAGATTGGAACAGGATGACTGGAGTTTGTATGATTCGTGCTTAATGACTCTGCAACTCTGCATAATCAGGACTTGCAACATTCTGATTGCTCCTTAAAAAAATAAATAAATAAAGTTCCATCAGCAAAGAGAAACTCCAAAATTTACTGTGAATAGCACTTTTCAGATTATTGTGAAGTCAAAACTCTCAAAAGATTGTGTGAAATCAGTCTGGGGAGTATGGTCTAGAGTGTCATCAATTATATTGGGTAATAAAGACTCAATACTTAGGTTACTGATCTTCATTAATATATTCATATATATTTTTCACTTTTTAAGACATTTTTATAGTAAGTACCAGTTCTGTGCTTCTCACCACAAAGTCTAAATAGGCCTGCAATTCATAAGCAATGACCAGATTACTTGTGATATGAAACAACCAGCTAGGCTAAAAATCATCTGTGTGTCTGGAATTTGGATCTACTTGAGATAGGGGAGCACCCCATGAGGACATATGGATAGACACAGAGGAGAGAGACAGGGTCACTGGGGCAGTGTCCTTGATAGTGAACCAAAAGGAAGGGTTAGCCATCCTGAGAGCTACAATCATTTTAATTTCAGTGGCTTTGACTGGAACTTCATTCCCGTTGGAATTGGAAATAACCAGGAGATCTATAGTACTTGGAGACAACATTAAATTTCTACCTGCTGGTTGTTTGAAATTCTGGCCCATAGGCCTTGCCGGTGTTCCAAATGGTCATGCATTGCAGGGAGGGCTTCATGTCACAGACCGTAGCCCCAGCAGTGACCGCACAGAGGTATGTAATAAATCTTCATATTATCTGACTCTCTGGGACTAGATTTCTTACAGCTGGAAATAACTAAGGAAGAAAGAGGCTATAAATTAACCTAAGTCACTTTGATAAGCTCACATTTATGAGCTTCTTTGGGGCAGATGTTAGTAGCCTCCAATAGCCAAGAGATAGGTTGAGCCACAGGGCTTCTCCATAGCCTTGCTCCAGATGGAGTGAAAGATGTATTACAGTGAAAGACAGCCTCAGGCCAAATTCATCAAACATTTATTAGCAACCAGTCATATAACCTATTGGTAAGGTCCAAGAAGACCCAGATCTACCTCTCCAGAAAGTTCTTTAAAAAAAAGTTTTATTTATTTATTTATTTGTAGCGAGAGGGGAAAGGAGGGAGAGGGAAAGAGAAACATTACTGTGTGAGAGAACCATTGATCAGCTGCACTGCCCCCGACCAGGGGCCAACCCACAACCAACCATGTGCCCCAACTTGGGATCAAATCTTCGACCTTTTGCTTTGTGGGATGATGCCCAATACACTGAGCTACACCAGTCATGGCTCTTTTTTTTAATCCTCACCTGAGGATATGCTCCTTAATTTTTAGAAAGAAAGGAAGGAGAGAGAGATCAATGTGAGAAACATCAATTAATTGCCTCCCAAACATGCCCCAACAGAGGATTGAAGCTGAAATCTAGGTATGTGCCTGGACCAGGAATCAAACCCATGACCTTTTGGTGCACAGGACAATGCTCCAGCCAACTGAGTGACCCAGCCAAGGGCCAGAAAGCTCTTTACCTGTTCATTGAAAGCAAATGCTACAGTATTCTAGGGTCAGATATTACTAACCTGATTAATCAGCCAAGGAGAGTCAGTTCCATCTGTACCTCTTACTGGAGTTGTTGTACAACTTGTGCCTCAGTTTCCTCATCTATAAAATTAAAGTAACAATAGTTCCTACCTCACAGGTTGTTATAAAAAGTAAATAAGCTCATGCATACTACCTCATCCTTATAGTAGGCCCCTATTCTTCTAGCACTCAGAGATGCTAAGATGTCAAAAATCCTCTAATAGCCCTCAAGGAACTGATTTTACTTCTGCAGAAACAAAACAAAAATGTGAAAAAGTTACATACTTTTAAATAATGAAAGATGGAAAGAATTATTTAAATTCCACCTACCTCCCAATAAAGGAGCTTAGAAACCGAAAGTGCCTTTGCAATTGCACAAAAAAAAAAAAAATAACTTCTGTAGCCTCAGGAAAGGCTAGAACTGCCCTCTTGCTCTAAGGAAAATTTTAACTCCCAGCTCCTAAATACTCTTTTTCATACTCAAAGTAGAAAAGTTCATCTGACCTTATGAGTCTTATTTGCCAATCAAAAGGAAATTTCTCAGGTAAGCTTGACTTTAAACTAATTACACTTAACCTTGCCCCCCCCACCAAATTCCCCAATTTCTCATTGATATTTACAAAAGCCAATTCACATTGACTTGTTTCTGATTGCATATTAACCTCAAATCAAATAGGGCTCTGTTATGCAGTCTCAGGAAAAGGCTGGAAAGATATCTTTTAAAAATTGTCTGGAAATCTTACAAATGGAGGGTCCTATTTTCTAGAGAATCAGGAGATCAAGAGTTTAGAAAACAGGAAGCTATCATAGTACAGAGAAGGTCAAACATGAACTACTGAAGACAAGCAGTAACACTGGTGCCTTTAAAACCTCTATTAAATGGAGAGTAAGGGAATACTATTTATTTTAAAAAGGTATAGACCCTTCAAAGGCAAATTTGGGAGAAGACACATGAAAAATATCAGAAGTCTGGAAGATGGAAAGTGAATAAATGAGTGGGTAACTGGGTTAGAGCAGAGAAGCTTAAATCTGACTTCCTTCAAAGGAGGAAGCCACTAAGGCGGCAAGTCACTAAGGCGGCAAGCCACTAAGTTTTGCCCTTATGAACGCCCCTAAAATGTCCTGACTGGTGTGGCTCAGTGGATTGAGTGTCAGCCTCAGAACCAAAGGGTCTCCGGTTTGATTCCTAGTCAGGGCACGTGCCTGGGTCTCGGGCCAGGTCCCCAGTAGGGGGTGCACAAGAGGCAACCACACATTGATGTTTCTCTCCCTCTCTTTCTCCCTCCCTTCCCCTCTGTCTAAAAATAAATAAATAAAGTCTTTAAAAAAAGAAACCCCCAAATCTAGAGGCTGGGGAGGTTGGGGGAGGGGCCAGGTACCTATGACAGGGACACAGAAAGGAACGTAAGGTATCAATTCTATCAATTCACTGATGCAAACCAAGGCCTTTAAGGTCAAAGCAGGTCAAAAGACCAACTAGGAGATCAAGACAGAGGTAGGAGAGGACAATTAGAAGTTAGGACAGACAAGTGTCCCAGAGTTTAGGGCAACGGTCTGAACACATCAGTAGTATCCATGGCCAAGTGCAAAAAAGATCCTGAACCTGCAAACATTTGCTTGTTCAAGGTTTTTAAGGACAGATAAGCTTCTTTAAAATTAAATTTGTTGTTCAAGAAGCCAGACTGTTGGACTTTCAACAATGCATCTTCTTTATCAATGTCTTATATTCAATTAGTTAAAGCAGAAATTCTGTTAATCTCCATTTAATTCAACTCACCAAACTGAACCACAATTTTCATTTCCTATGTAAAATAAACTGATGCCCACACACTTCTGTTCCTACTGAGTTGTGTATTTACTGAGCAAGTATCAACTGGGTTTGTTCTTAAATTTATTTATGTTAGTTCTACTTGTACTTATATAATTTAACTAAGTGTTACATAAACCAACTAAAATGGGGAGCCTCAAAAAGGACTGGTTGTTTCTATGGAAACTCAATTGAGATGAGTGGTCATACATGGCAGACTGAACACCTGCATCTCATTTCTTGCCTCCCAAAACCTCACTAAAATAAAACTAAAGGAACAAAAGGCATAAAGCACAAGGACAAAGAATGAGAGAAGTGACATGACACACCTGAGTTGTTGACAAAATGTGCAATCGAATAATTGGTAATTAATTTGTTTTCATTTTGTCCACTTTACAAGTGTCCACAAGGGAGAAAGCCTCAAAAGGCAAGCTGAATCCTGCCACAGAACAAGGCAAAAGTAGGGGAATTCGACTCACCCACCCCGCTCTCCTCCTCCAGCCCATGTGGCCTCTGACAGTCCTTCCTAGCCTGGCAGAAAAGGGGATCTTTTAAAGTTATCCTAGAGAAGCTGTGGTCTGGTGGGCAACGGACACAACGAAAGGTGGGAGGGAGGAAACTCAGAAAACACAGACAGCAGGGGGATGGAAGGAGCTACATAATGAACCCTGAAAAGTCCAGCCATCTCCCACGGTGTGGCTGCCAGAACTCTGACTGCCAGGTAGGACTGGCTCTGCAATTTGCAGGGCTAATGCCAAATAAAAATGTGGGCTCCTTGTTTCAAAAAGTATTAAAGATTTCAAGGCAGTGACAGTAGAGCATGAAAACAAGACTGTGTTCCCTCTAAGTGTGACTGCAGAGTTATGCAGCCACGAAGCCAGCCCTGTTGCTGCAAGTTATTTCTGCACATGCAAGAGACTGGAGGGTTTTTTTCTTGGAAAATTAGGCAGTCCAGAGAAATGACTGACATGCAGAAACTTCTCAATAAAATAGTCTGATTCTCATAAACTTGTCAGTGAGGCTATTTATGCATTTGGGGGCAATTTTTGTGCACATAAAAGATTATTTAGAAACAATTCTGTTTTTAAAACTAATAGTTTACCTATCGGTGTTGCAAATTTTAAACCCTAGTTTTTACTTAAACTTTTAAATTCAATTTTCATACCTGATTTGGTAGATTTACAAATCTACCAAAATATAATATTCATTTTTGATGGGTTTTTTTGCTCTGATCAATTCCCTTAAACATTTTAAGCTGCCTTCATAAATATAATAAACACATTTCATTTTCATTTCTTCAGAAAAGTTCCTAGTAAATACCTTCTCAAGTAAAATAAGTAAATTAAATGTATAAACACAATGGGACTTAATTTCTTTTAAATGATGCAATGCTGTTTATAAATTTAGTAAGAGTTAAATTTTGAATCCCAAGTCTAAATCAGTTACACAATTTATACTTTATTTTTATTTTCTCAAATTATAAGGGAAAGTTTATAAAGTCATGGAGGTAGAAAAGGTGAGCCAGCTTGGCTGCATGGGCTCAGGAAACAAGTTACAGAGGCAAAAAGAAAGGCCAAGAGACCCTGCCTGGAGGGAGGAGAGGGAAAAAGGCACAGGTTTGCTCTGGAGAGAGAGAGCGTGCCACAATTTAGACTTTA